CATTGAATAGACCTCTTTTCTCCCCTCTGCTGGCTTCTCTTCTCATGCAAAACAGGTCTGTTCAGCCTCCCAGCCATCCGTCACACAACAGAAAGACCATGGCAGGCCCTTTACGAGCCTCACACTCGCATAATCCCCCCCCCCCTTCATCCCACACCACCTTCTCTCAGCCCCACAATCCAGCACCCAACAGGGGGTGGAGTGGTAACAGGAGTGTGCATGTGTGTTGGGCAGTTGGGGGATGGGCACGGGGTATCTTGCTTTTGGAAGAAGGGCCACCTAGGCTGAGGGCAGGACAAAAAAAAAAAAAGCAGGGAGACGTAACATGTTTTGAGGCTGGATGGATGTCATATGGATGGGACACCGGGTAGGTTAGGAGGGGTTAACCTGCATGGGATGTGTGGTGTGTGCGTATGTGTGTGTGTCTGAGGAGTGTTTGTGGTGGGATGCAGTTTAGATGGGATGAAATAAATACAACAAACTCACAAAATTACTTTTGAAACTTTCAGCTCCCTTGATACAGGGGTGCCGAACAACATCTAACCCGCTGGCCCTGCGTTGTATGAAAAAAAGATGGACACAATTCAATCCTAACACACAAAAGATGACATCATCAACAGACCCAAATGTTCTACAGAGCATCAGATGAAGGTCAGTGTCCCAGCATCCGTCAGTAATAAAACAGTTATTCTTGTCACACTCACATTTTATCTCGCATCCCTGAGCATCCACTGATTCAAACTACCTCAGCATTCTCTGGACAATGTTCAGCACTACATCCCACTGGGAAACAAGAAAGAAACCTGACAACAGACTAGTGAATCTGATTGCGGAGAGATATGTTGCAACACAGGTCCATAAGATCAGAGTTATGGATTATTTTCTAAACACGCACTCACATCTGTACATATCAAAATGACATTGGGCGATGCTCAGTTCAGTTCAGCAAAAGATTACGTTCAGTGACAAAGTTTTGTGACGTCTGTTGCCAACTTTAAAATCGGTCAGGGAAAGATTGTGGTTCATGTTAAAAACCTAACCATCTGCGACTTGACGAGAACTCTCCCGCATCCACCACCCAGACCGCCACACCTTTACTTTCTACTTCTATACACTACCTGCAGTGGCACTGAACATTGCCCCTTGATGTAAAGTGTGACCAGTGGAATCATCTGATATGGATATCATTCATAAGAAACCGGTCTATTAGACATGTACAGACTATTTTAGACTATTGATCAGAATACTCCCATAACTCCCAGCTGTACTTTACTACCACTCAGGGGTGTCATTACAAAAACATCTGAAAACAACAAAGTCTGAAATCCTATCATATCTATACAAACATGTTTCCTAGCTGCATTTAAAAAAAAAAATCCTATCTTATCTTAGGATACAATTTAGCTATTACAGAACCTCACTAACTGAAGTATTTCCAAAGTTAGGAAATCTAGGTGAGGATGGCATAGACCCTGTCCAAAATTCAAAATAACTGCCAAAAATGGCAGCCCCACTGTGGTTAGGTCTGTATGACAATTACAATGAAGACAGGGAACAACATGACAACCGACATCTTTAGATTGAAAGGCTACTCAAACTGTATGATGATGATTTCCTGGACCATGTAACAATGGGTATATATATCGCCTGCCAAGACACCAACATGTTACGTCCATTCAAATCTTTATCCTGGGCCAATAATTGGGAAGAAAGCGGGGTTAAAATTGAATGCCCGTCTTTTCTTGTCCATTATATCGAGCTTGCAAACCAGTGACATGTGAAGCAAGACAGCTGTTGTCAAGCATACAGTCTCATGTACGTGCTAAACACAGATACAGACAGGACAGGACGAGTGCAGACTGAAGAATCGAGTTTACAGTTGTAGTTAGGAATCCTTATGTTAAGGGGAAACAGGCAAGAGTTTAGCAATTGCTTCTGTAAGAGGAAGAAGATCTTTGAAACTTAAGATAAGATAGGACAAGCAGTTAGGAAATGTTTCTTCTTTTGTAATGAGGCCCCAGGTTCCTAAATTAGAATATTGTGGGATGAGCTACAAATTAAAACATATATATATATATATGGGTATAAACCAGTCATGGGTATAACTAGGTGGGTGACCTTAAGATCCAGAAACTTCCCAGTACAATTAAAGTCTGGTCTTTTGGTTAGTGAGCAGCAAGTTTGAAGTCTCTTCCATTCAGCACCAATATTCATCCTGTCAGTGGGGAAATCGAACAGACACCCTTCCTGTCATCTCTCCTTATCTATCACTGTCTGGATAGCTATATTGCTGAACCACACACCTACTTGTTGTATCCCATGTATCCTCTGACGGACTTGGCCAATAACTGTGGGTCCTTTTCGGTACAGAATCTCTGACTAAACTACATTTAACGGACTAGACTCACTAATAAAACTGATGGTGACTATGGATGCTAAAAAAAGTTTTCAAGTAGATCACCACAACAATCTTTTACAACCTGTATATGTTGTGAATTGTATATTTTATATATTTCTAAAGGTTTATGTGTATTGTTACGCACCCAGTCACCAAGCAAATTCAAGGATTCCCTTAAATGGCAACAGTCTAAATATGAATGGAAAGGTGGGGTGAATTCAAGATTACAGTGCAGGTTGTGACATTTCACTGCAACACATTATAGACATCTGGCAAACAGGCTAAATATACAATAAACAAGGCTGAGAGACGTCAACAGTGATGGAACTTCTGACTCCACATTTACATTTATATCAAAACCCGCCCTGTCCAAAGCCAAAGTGAAATAGCAAGTCGATACTGTGAATCAACTTTAAAGATGAAGAGAACAAGGACAAAAGAGCAAGACCAACAATCATTTCCACAGTATTTGATCTATTAAAAACGGATATCAAAGCTCTCTGTTTCCCAGAGGAACTGGCTGCTTTGAGAGAATTAAGCTCTGGTCAACATTACATAAAGGAGTAGAGAGATTTATGTACCATTTACCATGGTAACATGGTGTGTGACAGTAAGCCTATATGATTATGTTGTTAGGAAAGAGCTCTCAGGATGTGCTTGTTTGTTTACTGCTGGGAAGGAGCTCCGAGGCTTCGATCCTGTACGACTTTAAAAGGTTCTCATTGATTGTTCTGCTAAATGATAAAAGTTCCACCAGAATAAAATGCTTCCTGAATGTGAACCTGCATTTTTATTTGAGATGCTTTCAGGCCGGGATCCTGCCAGGAAGCGGAACAAACCTGCGACAGTGAAGAAAGAACAATGTCTCCCTCTAGTGGAGTGACAGTGTTAGTGACTTTAAAGCCCGAGTCCAGTTTGATCAAGCCTCAGAGAAGGAAATCAGTCCTGGCCGTCCAGAAATTGGTCCACCTTTCAAGACTTTAGGAGACCTTTAATAAATGAAGAATTTTTAATACTATATTATCTTGTTATTTTTGGCAATTAATTGAATATTGAGTTGTGCAGTAGTTTAGTTAATTTGCCTCCATTCACATTTTGCAAATGCTAAAAGGACAAAACTTGCACTTGATTTATACTGGGAAAGAACTGCATACATTGAGTTTTATAATATATAGCTAGATTACAAAAACATCCAAAAGTAGAATGGGAGCCAGAGCGTTCCTCTCCTGTGGAACCAGGTTGGGTTCAGGAGGCAGACACCATCTCCACATTTAAGAGTAGGCTTAAGACTTTCCTCTTTGATAAAGCTTATAGTTAGGGCTGGCTCAGGTGAGTCCTGAACCATCCCTTAGTTATGCTGCTATAGGCCTAGACTGCTATAGGCCTAGACTGCCAGGCATGGACATCACTTTGTGAGGACATGAGGGCTCAGATTTGAGGAGTGACGATGCACTTAACTCACGTGCACATTTTAACATTATTTTGAAGAAATATTCATGCTGAAATGTTTGAGTTGGGGAATCTGGAGGTTCTCCCTCGGAATATTTCCAGCATTAACCACTTATTCTCCCGCATTCTGGAGAATTTTTCGGCACCAAATTATGTTGGAGTTCAACTGGCAGGTGATAATTCAAAACATAAAAATGTATTGGACTATAATGCAGTAACCTTCAGCCTCAGTTTTTGGGAAAATACACATTTGTTTATTCTATATTCACGTTACATTGCATGTTTTTCTCAAGGCACGTTATTTGTTAGTTAACGTTTCTTGTTGCAAGCTATTTTCGGGAACATCTTTAACAAATTGTTTCACATCACATGATTCTGACATGCCCCCACGGACTTCCCATGATGCACTGAGCTCTTCTCTCCTCCTCTCCCTCTGTACGCATCCTTTTGGTTCTCTCTCAAACTTCTGTTACACAACCTTCAGAAGCCCCCCAAAAAAACCCACACCAAAAACGGTACCACTACCACCTTCCCGGAGGTTTTACTTTGCTTTTGTGGGTCGTTGCTTATTTCCTCGCGGCTTCTATAGGATCAGCTGTTTCTGTACTACATTTGCACACACTGTCTTACTGACTGTCTTATGATCAGGACGCTCGTGTAACTGAATGGACATGACACCGACAGGCCCATAAAATGTAATGTTTATTGCGGCAAGACAACATCCCGTAATGACATGCTAAAATGTTGTAGACTGAAGAACACTGCTGCCGTCCCGGACTAAGATGAAGCGGCTGAAATGACCAGTCAGTTAAGAGTCGTGACATGAATGAAGGGCATTTAGTTTGTTTCACGGTTCACAAATAGTCACTCGGTTCAATCAAATTAAGCCGAGACACAAATACTTCCCATTAACCTCCGTGGTTAGTTGCCTGTCAGCGCCGGGAGTCGGACCAAACTGCTATGTTTAGGTGTCAGAGTAACTCGGCAGCCAATCACAGACAGCCTCGCAGCACAGGTACGTGTCGGTCCAAAAGGACCACTGCTCGAGCTGTCAACTGGTACATGGTGTATAAATCGATTCCATACTAGCCTTTCCACACAGGATTTGGCCGTAAGCGCTTTCATGCTATTCAACAATGCAGAGGCCAGTTTACACTGTTAAAAAAGGAGAAACCTTTATTTTTAAGACCATTAAAATAAATACTATACAGAATCCAATGTAGAAAACTTGATACACTGTTTCTGTCCGAAAAAAAGGTTAACAATTCCTTAAATTCATTTTTAAAAAATAGCACTGACTATACACCCCAAAACATGACAGTTCTCCTAAACCAGACACCCAACCCCATGATGACAAGCATTTTAATGAGGGCGCTTACAGTAGAACGGGGGGGGGGGGGGGCTCTGTATATTTTATCTGTAGTTTGGTCCTTTCATGTCAGACGGCCCCTCTCCCAACAATTTGGCGAGGTAGGTTACAAAACTTTTCTACCATCTTATCAAAAAAAAAAAAAACCCAAGTAGTTTAAAAATAAGTCTAGATTAACAAAAAAAAAAAAAAAAAAAAAAAAAAAAAAAAAAAAAAAACAGCTAAGATGAAAAATCCAACCGGGTCATCGTGGTCCAGAGGCAGCCTCCACAGAACTCACCGTTGTTTCTGCCTCCAAACATCTGTGGCCACCAGTCTCCAACTGAATGCTACTGCACACGTGACTGTACAAGTCAAGCAGTATGTACAAGAGCAATACAAAAAAAAATAAAAATTATATATATTATATGAAACAGCAGTAAAAGGATCAAAATGGTAAACAACTCATTCATGATGGATTTTACTATACAGGTCTTTTTATTGAATATGCCCTGTGTACGCTAGTCCCAAAACCGCTGTTCTTAACATGATCATGGATGTGTGTTAAAGGCTGTTTTTAAGTACACTGAAGGTTGTTTTAAATACTGATCGGTCAAAATGCAGCACTTCATTTCGATCATTGTTATGTTAAACTGAACTGCAGTCTAAACCGCTCATCTATCAGTCACCGGCGGTGCAGCACCTGGCGACCGGCTGTGCAGGTGCAAATCACAGCCACATTTCACAAAAGCGCCAATCATCATATTAGCATTGTGTTTTATCAATCGGGCCAAGTTGATAATTTATGACAAGCTTATCCTGACAGTCAGAGCTATTTATTTAAATGTTATATTCATTATTTATTTTAAATGTGCTTTTGGAAACGCAGTCATGTTTTGCACTTGTGGGACACAGTAACAAATGCATTCGTTTTAAGTTCTCAGTTTGCAAAATATCAGTCTGAAGTGTTCAAATGGATGTGTTAAACTGGGGGCGGGGGATTAGCTGCAGGGACAATTTTGGTGCCAATATGTGGGTAATTGACTACAGCAAGCTGATGAGGCAGTCAGTAACTCATCCTTCCAAGACGGCAAAAAAAATTTACAAAGGTTAGGAAGGAATAATGGCTGCATTCTTCCTTCCCTTAGAGTGTAGAGGGTAAAGTCAGGGTGGAATTTAGCAAAAGGAAGTTCTTAGAATTCAGATTGTATAAGAAACAACGTTTGACTTCTAAAATAGGCGGGGTGGGTGTGGACGAAGGGCGTGTGGATTCTTCTAGATAAGATCGGCCACATTCATGGGCATCTCCTCAACGGTGGTGTTGTAGAACGTCTCAATGTCCCTCAGGGTTCGCTTGTCATCCTCAGTCACCATGTTGATGGCTACTCCTTTCCTTCCGAAACGACCACCCCGACCAATCCTGAAAAAAATTAAATGAAAGTGTCAAAAAAAAATAACCCGCACACACACTTTACTGAGTAAAGAGCATCTGGCTGTGCCAAATGGCAGGCAGCAAGAGACAAGTACCTTGAAGATGCATATTCACATCATACAGGTACACCTAACACTGAGCCTGTCTGTGGCAAGAAGACCTTTGGGGACGTAATTTTGACCACTGCACAGATGCCAAAATTTTGTACCAGCTAGTCAGACATCAAAATATATTTGAGAATACGGTGCCACTGAGATACTACATCTGCCAGGTACTTGGTCAAGATGGGCAGCAAACAATTTAATAAAAACAGTTATCAGAAACTGATCCAAAACATACGTCAGGGGCTAAAAGAATGATGTGAGGTTGTTTGGAGGTATTATCTATAGCCACTGTCCACTATAGATGTCAAATCAGCCCATTAAGTTGTGTTTTTACCTGTGGATGTAGTTCTCCCTGTTGGTCGGCAGGTCATAGTTGATGACCAGGGACACCTGCTGGACATCAATACCTCTGGCCTGAGGAACACAGTTACCAGTCAATATAAAGCATAGGCATTGTATACATACAGCATTTACACACAGGAGGGGGTGCAAACTAATCACGTCTACAATGCATTGATACCCCAAAATATTTCTGAAGCTTTAAAGCAGCACTTTAACCTCAGGCTCCATTTCTGTTCAGTCCAAGGAGCCAAAGCTCAGAACCAAACAGGGCCATTGACAGCCAGCATTAAATTTAGTCTATATCCAGATGTGATTAACCTGAATACAATTACACCTAGTATCGCTTTAAAAAATGAAAAGCTCCAACTATACATTGTATATTAACAGTTTTTCCACAGTGGTTTGTTTTCCTCCATGGATTATACACCCATGTTCCTTTCAGCCGGAAGGTGAAACTTCAGCCTTCTTCATAAGCTACACTGTTATTTTAGTTGTTCCGAGTTTAAGACAGCGCACCCCAGTTAAGGAGGAAATTGTGTACCAGTCAAAACCACTCCAAAACATTAAAGATAAAATGAAGACTGAGTGTAAACTGCCACTAGTTGTGAGTCAAGGACTTAAACCCAGCCACGGTGGAGGACAGATAGGTTTCTCTACCAAGGAACAATCAGTCCTTCACCAACACTGCAGCTGGGAGGAGAGGGAACCTTGGACTGCACACAGATGTCATATGTACTAAAATATAATGCTGTTAGCCTGGGTTTCGCCAAGAGCTGTGAGGATGGGTGGCTAAGAAGAAAGCAAACCTCAAAATTAAATACACAACATCACTGACCCACTACAGATAAAGAACCTACTGCAAGCAAAAATAAACCACAAACAAGTGGCATAGCCTAATCATTCCCTGTATACACACACGTTGTGCTTGTGACACTGTCAGCAGGTCAAACTGTTTTCTAGCTCATACCTTTATCAGCACTCAGGTTATTGTACATACCAGCAGGTCAGTGGTAATGAGGACTCGACTGGAGCCAGAGCGGAACTCCCTCATGATCAAGTCTCTCTCTTTCTGGTCCATGTCACCATGCTGAAAGAAAGAGGGGGGAGAGACTGACATGACAAACCTACACTGAAAACTTTAAGTATGTTAAGTTTTACAGCAGTGATCCAATAGCATCACTGAAGAGCTTTTACTTTTATCATTCTCATGAAACAAAATCTGTAATGTCTGGTTTTAGCAATCATTCCCAGGATTACTTTACAGTACACTAGGTGAACAGTATCAAATGACTGCTGATGCTGGCAAAACTGAGGGAATGTATACATCCGAGTAGTGCGTTTAACTTGTCTGCCAATTGTGGTAACTGTTTTCAGCTGAAGTGTTAAGATCTACAATCAACCCCCCCCCCCCCAAGTGTTCAGTGCCTGCAGTTCTTGGGCCACTAACAGGACGGGGCCTTGGACTGGATTCAAAGCATTTCTGCTCAGTGTATGTAGACATGACTCTTACCAGAGCAGACACGGTGAAATCTCTGGCGTGCATCTTCTCAGTGAGCCAGTCCACTTTCCTCCTTGTGTTGATGAAGATGACAGCTTGTGTGATTGTCAGGGTTTCATACAAGTCACACAGCGTGTCCAGCTTCCACTCCTGAGGACCACCAGCAGTTTAGATACAGCCAGCTCAAGCAAGCTCAGTTTGTTCACAGCATGTCCTCAAAGATCCAGGAAAGTTACACTAAGCTGCTGTTTAAGGTACACTGTACAGCATAATAGGCCTACAGAGAGCCACTTCTGTTATTCAGCCTACCCTCCAATGAAACAGTATAATACAGAACAGTTCCACAGCACTCAAGGATGCAGTTTCAACCGATTTACAGCCCTTATGAAGGTAGGATTTACTGCAAGCCGCTTTAGCATTAGTCTTATCTAGGTGCACCCAGTAAACTGGCAACTGAGTGTACTTAAGGTTTACTTTTCCCTAGGTAAATACAGTGTACCCTAGTCAAGCATACCAACTTTAGACACCAGAATGAGGATAAAGTAAAATTTAGTTCGTATCAACTGGAAAATGTTCCTGCACCTCTTTCTCCACATTGATGTAGAACTGGCGGATGCCCTCAAGGGTCAGCTCCTCCTTCTTCACCAGGATTCGGACAGGTTCACGCATGAACTTCTTTGTGACCTCCAAAACATCAGCTGGCATGGTGGCCGAGAGGAGGACAACCTAAAAAAATAAAAGAACCCTCAGCACTGGAAGCTTGTCATTTGAAGTACAAATGTCCTTATGCAGTCTTGTACAGGATGCAATGCACAAAAATCTGAAGCCAATTGAAAGTTGAGCCATTTGAGAATTTTAATGGTTTCTGAAGGTTTCTCAGTATGAGATATATTCAGCTCTCACCTGCGTGCTGCTCGACAGTTTCAAGAAGATCTCGTAGATCTGGTCCTTGAACCCTCGACTAAGCATCTCGTCGGCCTCATCCAGCACAAACATTTTGATGTGCTTAGAAGCTGGGGGGGGTTAAACACAACAAAGAAAATTGAAAGCTAAGCAGAACACACACTTGTTTTATATCCTCATTGTTGTGTGACATTTCAGAAGGGTTTTCTTGATTTGTTTAGAGCTCAAAACGACATCAAGATCTTTAGATGTGTCAATTACAGCAGAGACCCATTGTTGACATTTGCCAATACTTGATTTTTGCAACTGACTTTACATAAATATACGTTTTCACTTTGAGAACTGAAGACATTTAACATTCCCTTGAACTTCAGTCACATTGCTTCTGTGACAGACATTTCTCTAAATCCTATTCTGCTGTAAGGACTCAACACTTCTCTCCATCAGAAGTGTGGTGGTGCTGTATTCAGAAGTAGTGATTTATGATCATGCCTCTGGACCCCTGATGTGCCAAGACTCAAGCCAGCAGAACGCCGACCAGAGACACAACACACCAGGGGCTTACAGAGTCAGCTGACACGCATGGGTTTCATCACTATACAGCAGTTCCCTTTCCGATTGTGCACCAAGCTGGAAGGCTGGTTTGACAAACTACTAAACTAACAACAATCTTCCTTCTCCCCACTTTGGATGGATTTTATTTATAGTGTGGCAGCAAATAAGTTGGAAATTATTTGAGAAACTGTTGTTTCAATTAAATAAGTGAAGTGGGAGACAACTTAGTATTTGACTTACAGAGGTTCTTGCGAGTCAGCATGTCGAAGACGCGGCCAGGGGTTCCCACCACGATGTGTGGGGCTTCAGCCTGCAGCTTCTGGACTTCACTGCGAATGCTGGTTCCGCCAATACAGGCATAGCAGCTGGCACCCATGTAGTCACCCAGGGCCAGCACCACCTTCTGGATCTGAATTTAAAAAAAGAAAAACAGACCACCATTTGTTGAGTCACGTTCAATGCTATTCAAAACATGCAAACAAGGCAATGCAAGGGCTGCATGATGCATTTTGACTGAGGTTAAAGCAATTTACAGCTTGGCAAATGAGTACATGTTGCCATTAGAAGACATCTTTTTAAATTCCAGGATAGCATGGCCTTTTTTTAAGTTTTACTCCCTGCCCCCCCCCCAGGTAATTTCTGTTAAGTGTGGTGGTGCTGTATTCAGAAGTAATGATATGATCATGCCTCTGGACCCCTGATGTGCCAAGACTCAAGCCAGCAGAACGCCGACCAGAGACACAACACACCAGGGGCTTACAGAGTCAGCTGACACGCATGGGTTTCATCACTATACAGCAGTTCCCTTTGAGTGTAGCTACTCGAGTTGGGCGAATATATTTCTATTTTATATATTGTCAGAGGCGGGAGTGTGTCAACTGAAAATTCTCACATCTTTCATTAGTTAAATCAGTCTTAGTTCAGTGAAAGAAACTAAAGAAGGTGTGTGGTACATTTTTGTATAAGAATTGAAACTGGTGTAGAAACATTTCCTTTCTGCCCACAGTGTGTTAGCATTCATTGGCAGGCGTGTCAGCAGCAGGGATACACTGACCACCTAAAGTGCACTCAACTGTAAAGCTGGTTTGAAGTTTTGCCGAGTGACGAGCTGACCTTCCATGTCTAAGTCATGGAATACTGTGCAGATACATGACAAGTCTGAGCTCATCTTAAGTTGGTTTAAAAAAAAAAAAAAAAAAAAAAAAGCAGCGATCTACAGTCCAATACTACATTTGAAATGTGTTGCAGTTTGGCTGACTAGCCCGTCCCCCGCTGTCAAGCTCAATATCTTCAGAATGAGTTTTGCAAATGTAATGGCTGAGAAACACCAGCAATGGAACAACATCTAGTACAGAAAACCTGTGAACTCACAAAAGCTCCAGGCTCATTGTGTTATCTGAAGCCTGGGGAACAAAATGCTGGAGGGGTTTCTTAGAAGAGTAGCTGTGAATGGGGTGGGGTTTTGGCAAGGCAATGGCCATGCAGAGCGAGCGATATGAGGAATGAGGTCTCGCAGGGCAAATGGCTCCATCTGCTGCTGAACAAACTTGTGTGTTTTGTGGAGGGCTCAGTGATGCGCGCAGTAAAGATTGACGGGACTTTTCTGCAGTAAACCGTTGAACATACAAATGCAACTCTCAGCCAGGATCAAGTCCGTTTCATATCCTATAACACATGCGATATGTGTTTTTGAAAAGACGCACTTCAAAACTTGTTTTCCAAGTGTTAAGAAACCCACACACAGCCTAGCAAATTCAGCAGGACAGCTGAGTGTTATCTAAAGCCATGTTAACATGCTCCTAAACTAGGTTCAATACTTGAAATATGCAAAGACAAGATTAAGATTTTGAATGCAAGTACAGTTTGTGTGTGTCTGAGTGTGAGCCTACCTGCTGAGCCAGCTCCCTTGTGGGAGCCAGGACCAGAGCCTGGGTGTCCTTCAGTTCCACATCAATCTGCTGGAGGATGGAAATGGCAAAGGTGGCAGTCTTCCCAGTGCCAGACTGTGCCTGAGCAATCACATCGTAACCTAAAAATAAGTATATACATATCACTGTTTAGCAATTTGTTTATTTAAATAGTCGAATCAAACTTTAGTTGCTATGGTTCAGAATCAATGACCATCTATCCATTGGGGATTTGTCCCCACTGTCAGACCGGCACTGCCGCAGAGCCCGAAAGTGAATGGCACCTCTCCAGCTACATCTCCGCCTACATATCGACTGGTCCACAACACCCTTTGCATCCAAGACAAGTCCTTATGGACTGAGCTACTGCTGCCCAAAACAAGTTGAATAATGCTTTACATACTTCTACTGTGCAGCCACATTTACAATATTGAGCCATCATAAGTTAAATGAATTTACATATTTATCATCAACACATGAACACCAACTGGACCGGCCATGTTTCTGCCATTCTGTCAGAATGAAGCTTTTGGTCATTACATTTAGGTCGGCCCCCTTTAAAGTAACATTTTCGGTTGAGGACCATCCCGTAGATCTTGTTTTGCCAGCCGAATCATCGCACTTAGCTAAACCGTTATACAGAGCAACACAGGATGACAGCATGGCACTTTTGTAAGCCAGGTCTGGGTTCTCAAATTAACCCAAATGCAAAAACTAGTTGAAAAAAAGACATGGGTGATTTAAACTGAGATAAGAGTGGCGCAGAGCTTTTAGTATCCACACTAGTGAAGCCAGCTAAACTACTTTTGAACCAGACACTGGTACAACCCCCATTACTGCCATCCAGTGTGATGGGCTAGTCGCTGACAGAGCAGTCAGCAGCCAGAAGGGAGACACTCCCCTAGAAAAGATCAAATATTTGGTCAAAACTGGGGACTCGAGTAAACTTTGAAATTCTGATTCCTGTGGAGCCAAATTATTGTGAAGATGGTGTAAAAATAAGAGGCCTGACTGTTATCTTCATTCTACTCCAGTAGGAGGCAGTAATGTCTCCTTCAGCTAGTTTTGTATCCAGCATTTTCTGTTAAAGCCATTTTGTTTCACCACATGTATTTGTTCCTAAAAGCAGTTGGCACTTTACATGGTAGCCTCTGTCATCAGCATATAAACATACAGTCCATTTACCATAAAAAAGCCCCCCCCAAGATCCATGAAGGAAATGCATGAACTAGACCACGCGACAAATTAAAGTGTTTTAGTCATTGGACATGTATGCTATGGTATATTTACTAAGCCATTTTGAGATTTTTGTAAGATGTTACACCTTACTTACCCTTGATGCAAGGGACAATGGCTCTCTGCTGGATCGCGGAAGGCTTCTCAAAACCATATGCATAAATTCCTCTGAGCAGAGTCTCGCGCAAGCTCATCTCATCAAAACTGTCCACGATCTGATTCCAGTTGCTCTGAAGGGGGTAAGATAAACAGGGCAAAACGAATTCAGACACCTCTTTAGAAAACAGAAGTTCATATGGTCCACATGTAGGCCATTAACTGGCAGGAAACTTTACTGTACTGAAGTGGGGCAGGGGTTTATTATCTTAATTAGCAGTTACAGGGGACTCACCTCAATGATCCCATCTGGCTCCATGCCCTCTGGGCCATTGTCTCTGTGAATGAAGAGACAAAAGAGGTCATGGCATCATTCCCTGACTTCTTACTACTTTACACCACATCAGAACACAATTTAAAGAGGTCCTATCAAAAAGACTAAGCTTTGAGGGACTGATTTAGACAGTTAAGGCCAACCCAGAAACACTAGGACAGTCTGTTCCCTTCATGATTACTGACATGTTGTGATGACTGGATGAATAAAAATTCCATTTCCCCCTTTATCTCCACTGTTCCCTGACACAAAACCCACACAGTACATGTGTTCTGGTTAATATCTTTAGTTTGTTGTCGGATGTCGCCGTTATTATTTCATGGTTATACGTTACCGCCTAAACACGACAAACGCCCCATTTGGGCTACAGGATTGTGACTTTACAACAACAAAATAATTTATTATATTTGTCGTTTTATCTGAGTGATTCGAAGCAGGCGTCTTTTCGGGAGTCCGCCATTTTTACAAGCGTTAACGTTACATACATTCAAGATGGTCGTTTCTCCTGTTAGGGCTGGAGAGTCGGAAGCGAGTAGACGGGGGGAAAAAAACTAACCACAACGATTTAAGCTTGCTACCTCACAATATGAGACTGATCTTCGACCGACCGTGACCTGGCTGTGAATTGTTGATTTCGAGTTTTTACTCCAGTTTTAAACGTGCTATCGTTATGACGATTAACGTCAAGAGAAACGCTCGGCTGGTTGTAGCCCCGGCCCGCTATAACGTTAGCCACAGCCAACAGGCCCTGCGCGTCTTTATGTGGCCTTTTACTAGACTTGCCTTGTCAGCGGAACCCATTGACACCGTACACCGACATAAACCCGGTATTTGTTTCTCCAAAAAGGTAGTACACATTTTCACCTAGAGCAGTGTTCGGGCCAAAGGCTTCCAACAGCACCTAGCGGCCTACTGCTGCGCTACCGGCATTGTCCAAGCCGCCGATTAACGCTACTACGACCATGTGCGTCGTACGAAAATAACGAAAATCTTTCAAATTAATACAACCGACTCGGAGCTTTCGTCCACTCTAAAAAGCCGAGATTTCCTTTTTACTTATATACCCTTATATTTAATGTTAAGTTTTTAACGAGAGCAGCATCTGATGTAAAAATTAGGAAGGCCTAGTTAACATTATACCATACCCTCACGTGCTACCAGAGGCGCCGGTTGCCGTTTAATTTGCTTCAGTTACGTTCAAGACTAAAAACAACGAACACCATCATTCGTGCCACCCGAAACAAACCTGTACGTTACAAATTACAGAACTAAATATAACTTATCCGGAGTTCACCGTGTCGGTTTATTAAATGCTAAGACCTGTGACGTTAGTATGAGGCAGGCTATCGGCAGGCCTTAGCGTTAGACGAGCACAGAAACACCGGAATACCTCGGTCAATATCTAACGTTACATCTCGAAGACAACATTTCAAACACAAACATATCGACGCATACAAGTAAATCCAACGCTGAAACACAAAACACCCATACGACCATAAAAAACGTTTCCTCACCTATTATCATATTCAGCCGACATTATTCCAAAGAAAGAAACTGCGGCAGAAATGTCTTATATACGTTGACAACACACAAAGAGGCTTTCTCATTGCAACAGAACGCCGTCATTTATCTATAATCCCTCCCACAGAGGCTTGTGATTGGCCTATGTGTACGTCAAATAAAAGTAGGCGGGTCGTACTGTCCGTAGTAACGTACGATTGTGTTACCGTTAGCATGCCAGACGGGCGGAGTTTACATTTTACAACCAAACTGTTTAAGAGGTAAGCAAGCCCCTTTCACCCGGGATGCCCCGGGACGTACTATTAATGGTCTCCCATTCTCAGTTCAGCCATTTGTCAACGTAGAAAAAAGGCGGAACCCTAGGGTAGAATTTTTCTTCTGGTTTGTTGAACCATATTTCCTGCAGTTTTTCGTGTGAAGGGAGCAGGGAACATCTTGGAATATGATACAGTTGTTCCTAGGTGGTATTCATTAGACTGCTGCCAGCCTTATGAATGATAAATGTTGTAGCGTAATGATTCCACTTACAGTACGAACCAGGATTTTAGAAATATTGAAGTCAAAGTAAGCTGCCCATAGACACACAATATAAAATTGTCTAAAAACGGCAAAATAATGAGTTAAATCACAAACTATCTGATCAAAGACCAATACATTTTGGTCAGTACCAAAGAAGTACCCAGCTTTAGTTTCCAAACCTAATTATATTTTCTGTAAATGTTATGTCCCAACATTAAGACTAAATTCTGTTTCAAAGCCCTCTCCACACATCCAGAACTACTGAATACTTTATTGATTTATTCATTTTTTATTAATAATTCTGTTGGACTAAGAGCGGTATCATTTGAATATATTAAATATATACAAAGAATACCAGTCGTTCAGACTATCTGTCATTTCCCTCTCTGCCTTTAGGAGAAGAAACAGCATCCATACACTAACATGACAGAACATGTTCCCCACCAGTCATGTCATTTGACTGGATTTATACTTAGTTACAGTTATGTAGTTACAATAAGTATGAGTTACAGTTATGTGATTCTTGAACTTTGGACACACCCCAATATTTACCCCCCACTGGTGATTGTAAAGGTCATAGCATAGCGGTTCCTGATGATGGCTCAGAATGAAGAGCAGGTTGTTCACTAATCAGAAAGCCGGTGGTTCAGTCCCCATCTTCATGTCAAAGTGTCCTTGAACAAGATACTGAACATCAAATTGCTCCCAATTTGTTAGTGTGTATAAATATTAGCTCAGTGTATGAGAACTAGTGAATGTGAGATGGCGTAGCGCTGTCTGGCACTCTGTAAGTGCAGTCCATTTTCCTATCTCTCTAACCTTTAGGCAGTGGTGGCCTAAACTTTGTGACCAGAACATTGTCGGTTCGATCCCTAGATCGACAGGATTATTTTCCAGTCTACTGAAGTGCCCTTGACCAAGGCCCTTAACCCCCAACAGCTCCAGCGAAGCTGCAAAGTCTGCCAGCCATCAGGTGGTTGAACCTGGCGGCTTCAGGCGTGAATGTGCAACACTATGAGTATAATCAGTGTGTTCTTAAAAGAAGAGAGCATTGCTCTCAGTGAAGCTTCCCAGACTAACAAAGGTGAAAAAATAAATTAAATAAATGATCTCCTGTTGTCGTCACCAGTCTGCGTACGTACTATTCATTACATGTAACAAGCTGACACTTTCATCCAAAGTGACTTACAATACAAGCGCATTCAACCATGTGGATAAAACAACAAATTGCAAGAATCATGCAAGTAAACCCACTTCATCGAAAACGCTGCTTCAAGTAATCCATTTAGAAACAATAAAAGATAGAAAGAGACAGTTTTCTAACAGACCATGGTGCAATCTGACGAGGGTCGCAGTGAGGGAGTAGCAAGCCGATTGGCAGTAGCAGAGCTTATAGTGGACGGAGCTGGGTGTATGGTTTGACCATGTCCCGTATGTAGGGGGGGTCAGAACCATTTGCAGCGTGGTAGGCAAGTACCAGGGTCTAGAATGGGATTCAAGTAGCCGTGTAGAGTGGTAGAAGTTGGGTAGTTTAAAGACCAGCTCGGCTGCTGCAATCTGGATGCACTGCAGAGGCCGGATGGCACATGCAAGCAAACCTGCTGAAAGATCCAGCAAGACGATGACAGAGGAGAAAGGCTGTGTGAAGTTTCTCGGTGACTGCAGTTGAGTGGTCTGCCCTGCCCTGACGCCAACCCTGCTAATGCTGAATAAATGCATTGATGGGGGATGATAGTGGGGAAAAAAGTTTGTCTTAAAGGACATGCACTTCATTCATACTCAGTCATTATGATGAACTAGAAGTTGTGGGTCACCTTAAAAAGAAAGTCATTCCTGCATGCTCAGTAATATTCTAGAGGTTGAATAAGACGCATGTGTGACTGCCACTTTCACAGTTTGATTACAATGGGAACCTTTGTCATATGTCATGACATACCCTCTCTCTTTTTCTGTTTCCTATTACTCTTATGCTGTTAAACAAAAAAAAAAGGACAACAAAAAGGACAACAGCCATTTTGCCTTCATTTGAAAGTCAGTGTAGAAAACAAAACATGGGGAGGGGGGTCCTGACATGCAACAAAGAGTCTCCTGGCCGGACGGTATGTGGTATTCACGTATCAGCCCACTGTGTGAGAGATCATTTTAACCATTTAATATATTGTTGGATAATTTAATCAATGACAATGCATCATATTTTTCAAGCCCATCAAGTGCTTTTTATATCAAATCTTAATTTGCAAAGTAACTTGTAACTAGACGTGTCAGATACATGAAGTGAATAAAATGTACAATATTTCAATGTGAAAGTACCCTAATTGTGTACTTTGGCAAACGTACTACACAGGAGAACATGTAAATCATGTCAGCATACCTAGCTAATGCCCATGGATTAGCAGTGATAAAATGCACAACCACTTGTTTGCCGTGTATTTTTATTTTTAGCAACCATAATGCATTGTAGAAGATATATAAAACTGTCAACTCTGTTGCATCAACTCCTGTTCGAAAAAAAAAAAAAAAAAATCAAAAACACAGCTGTCAAGAAAGTTTTCTTTCATTATAAAAAGAAGAGGAGGGTACTGTAACTCCACTGTGGACATACTGGATCTGTGTGTAGCAGTCGTGGTCCTCACCAAAATGGCTCTTAAAACGTTCAAAGAAATACTAACCAGAGGATCTCTTTTGTACTTAACTCTGAAAATAACTCAAATTAGTAGTCCTCCTTTTAACACCGTTTGTTTAAAGCAATAAGCATATCAACACATTTACTGACGGAGATAAAACACGGAAAAAGATTAATGCAATGTAAAGATACCCCTTCTTTGGGCCAATGTGTCACTCTGGCTTGTTTAGGTGGTGATCCACAGATGCAGATCCAGTCTCCACACATGAAGATTTCTTTTTTTTTTTCTTTATATCTATAACTGGGAAGAGTGATGGAGGCAGAGGACGTTTCCGGGCTAAGGGGTAAATATGTGGTGTGTTCCACAGATGTGTAAATTCTGATTCTGACATCTAAATAGCTTGTAGGAAATTGTTAAACAAATATTATACATTGGAAATGTCACATCACTACAGTGGAAATGATTAAGTGCTGACTGGATAGCATTGTCAACACAAGATTGGCTGTAGCATGGGGGGAGTGTATTTTTATGTTTCTATGTTGCTTTTTAAAGATGTCGGCTTTCATACTTTGGATGTTTGGAATGAGTCACAACATATTGGATGGACTGGATGGATGGCAGGCATGGAGATCCACTGGTACAATTTAACCACAAGCTTACACAGACTGGTTCAAATAATTTTGCCATCCAACCATGCTACCCCTGCAGTCAGTGCTCAGGCATCTTACATGACCGTAATAAATCAGGTTTGACCAAGCTTTAATCTGGACTGGATTATTTAGATATTTCTTCATGCTCCCATTCAGAAAAACACAACTGGACTACGATAGGTTGGATGATTAGCACATTCCCAAAACGGAAGCTAGTCTTGGCCTCTGTCAACCACAAAGGAATAACAATGACATGGAAATTAAATTGAAGTTTTCAAAGGGTGGAGAGAGGGAAGTAAAGAGAGACAAAACAAAGCAAAACAATGACACCACCTACAACAGAAGGAGTACTTTCTCTGGATGTTGGCAGAGAAAAACAAAAGTTTTTGAAAAGTTTTCTCTTTTTCCAGTCAATCATTTGCTCCCCGTGTCCTCTTCTTGTTACATCATTGTCCCTCCATCTTGTTAGGGTCAGGGGTGGGAGCAGGTGGAGATGGTGGGCTGGGATGAGGGTGATGGGTCACAGGGTGAGCTTGCAGTGACACAGTTCTTTGTACATTTGCCTCCTCAGCCGGGGCATATCCAGCTGGCCAAAGCTGAACGGCTGCCCTAATGCCAGACACTTGCAGTACTACAGGATCGTGGATCGAGGAGAAATGAGGAGGGAAAGAAAAAAAATAAAGTTTTTGTGCTACAGGAAGAACAGATTCACAACAACACATTTGTAATAGTGCATTCACACAGTCCGCAAAAAAAGCCAGTACGTGTGTCTTTCTGCAGTGCTGAGCGACCCGCTCCATAGATGCTTAACATGCTTGCTGGCTGACAAAGTTACTGAAGGGCCACTCACTGGGGTAGGCTGGCCTACCCACAAACAGAAACATGGTGGTCCATTAGGAAGGGAAAGCACACTTCCCCAAATTGGCATGTCAGTGTTGGTTGAGTTAGCTAAATATACCACAAGATGTAGGGTAAGTGCTTGCACAGTCAAAGCCGTAGCCTCTGGAGTGGCTGGAGATGTGTTGTGAAGTTGGGAGAATGGATATGAGATCACATAGAGGCCTGAATTAAGATGTTAATATAATTAATTGTGCCGCCCTTACACAATATTCATTTGAATGTGAGGCTAAAAACCACAAGGTTTCACATTCATCTGCACGTGGTGGGCAAAGACATGACGCACTCACCTGCAGCACAAAAGCCCCACAGTCACTGTCGTTGTTTTGACGACCCACATTCTGCAACATACACACGGTACAATTGTTGAAATGCAAAACACAGCCATAATAATGTATGACATGCAGAAACCCAATTTTCCTCAAAGTGACTAACGTAACTCTTTGTGAAATGAGTAACCTAAATCTGTGTCAAAGTCGAATAAAAAAAGTATCTCACCATTTTGAAAAAGCCTTTCCATCCTGTCAAAAAGTCTTGCTGGTCTTTTTTGATGGCCTCTGCTTGCAGGTACTTAAAAATGTGCTGGAAACAACAACAGAAAAGGATTCACAGAGGGCACAGGCTCCTGTTTTTTTTATTTTTAACAGTGACACAAAATGATGATACTAAAGATTTCATTATAAAAAAAAGAAAACACTTTGATAACATAAAAACAAGTGAACCCACTATGATTAGAAATTAAGACAATTAAACAGACTGAAGACTGCTCCAAAGTACTATATTATATTATCATGTTAAGTTAAACCCACTTGAACCAGGGCTACAGCTGGACTGTTTGCTGGGACATTATTTTATTTTTTATTTTAAGGTTAAGATGGGAATCGTTTGAATGTCCCATTGATCTTGTATCTGTAGATCAGATCAGTTACATGAAGGCAGCCTGGACAGAAAGCTTACCTGTAAATCACATTACAATAGTCCAGTCACAGAGGGTCTCTTAATTTCTAAAGATTATCTACAAGCTTGGTGTTGCTGTCCAGTCCTACCTTTGGGCAGCGTCTGTTGAGGGTCCGTTGAGAGTCAAAGTAAGTGATGGCTCGACGAGGTATGTCAACACTGACCAGCGACCAGTGCACCTCCAAGTGGATAGGGATCAACAAAAGATCCTTCTGAAAGATGTCAACCTGACGGTAGGAAAGTATGGCGAGAAGAGACGAGGGACAAATAAGTAAAATGAGAGACAACAGATATAAATAAAATTGTGTTATGCTATGCATATATAATATAGATTTATATAATAAATTAATTCCACACCACCTCCTACCACTTAAAAATACAGAGAAAGTGGAGTCAGCATTGTTCCACATAGCCGTTGCAATGTAATCAACCATGCAGATGAGAAAGAGCTGGTACAGATGCCATGTCTGTTGGCACACTTAGGTGGGCAACCATCCCTTAGTTATGCAGCTATAGGCTTTGACTGCCAGGAAACTTCCCATGATGCACTGAGCCTCCCTCTCCTCTCCCTCTGGATTTGTTTGTATTTGTATCCCATTAATGCATGTTACTGTGCAGAAGTTTTCTGCCTCCGGAGGTGTGGGGTCTGGATCTGTGGTTGCAGGCTTCCTGCTGCACCGCATTCCTCAATATTAGCTGCTAAAATTACTATTTTTAGTCCTAATATTATTATTTTCATTATTATTGCTATCATTATTATTACTATTATTTTTTATTCGTGTCTGTATCAATCCCACTACCATTACAGTAATTTTACATCTCTATGTGGACCTAAATTAAAATTAAAAGATAGCTATATATTAACATAAAAAAAGACAATGTGTTAAGCACTACCCATAACTTCAAGAAAATTCTTCGAACAACTTAATTGAAAAGTTTAAAGAGCAGGAAGATTGTGACAGCCACTTACATTTTTTGTCCATCGTTTGACTCCTTCATAGCCTTTTGTCCTTAGCTTATCATAAAAGAAGCTGTTGAAAAAGTGAACCTGAGGAAGAGAACAGAGGAAAAAGATATAGAGTAGATGACAGCATGAGATAAAACATGCATGAGATAAAACATGGCATCATGAACTCTTCAACAGCTAATGTCTAATAGGGAGCTTTTTAAAATAGTAAAATGGTGAACAATGTTTGAAGACAGTGTTTCTTCAAATAACTGAAACATAATGAAACTACTTTAAATCCCCAATTTCTAAATTAACAACTGATTTAAAGGCAGGGTTTCACAAATTGTAAGTCACAAAGTGAGTTACCATTTACTGTAGCTGTATTGAAATTAGGTCTAAATACCTGAATCAGTTAATGCACGTTGTCTTGACATTAGAGCATATAAAACATGGCTCATCTTCACAGATTAGAGACACACAGGGCCAACTCTGCCTGGTACTGTGATCACTATTTTTGGGTTTCAATGTAGTTCAATAAAGCCACTGTCAATTAGATATCCTTCTGTTACTACGCGATTCTAAAATCTACCTTGTGACTGTGACACGAGCAGGGCCACATATCCCAATAAGCCCAGATGTTCATATTGTGTCTTGCTACTTTTCCACCCACCCGTGTTTGAAATAATGCATTCTCGAAATGCATCCAAAAACGATCCATGTATCCTTCTGTTCATTCTGAACTACTTGTAGTGGGTCTTCCAGCTTGTGCAGTGAAACCCCTACAAATGGTTGAGAAGGCGGCAGCGCTTCTGTTTTTCGATTAACTCAACAACCTACACTGGCTCCCCATGGCCCCCCAAGTCACTAATGCTTCTTCACCAATCCCATCTTCTTCTTTTTCTATCTCCTTACAGTTCTCTTGTAATGGTTGCACTGTTTGTTGACTCTTACTTCTTCCCAGTGCTTCCCATTAATTAACGAGACCACGGCGGCCCGCCATAGTCTAATTTGCTCCGCCACAGTTTCAGAAATGAACCAAAAATATTTTCTCATAATTACATTTCAGACCTCTAAAGTTGTGTTTTGCGCCGCTGCTACTGTAAGCTCGCACACTTTGGCATTTGACTCGAGACAACCACTTTTATTCTTAGGTAACTACGGTGTCGTTAACGGCCTGTTTCTGTCACTCGTTTGTGAGAAGGCGACTAAGCAAGCGGCGCCTACATTTGGAGTGCAAACGTATTAAAGCCTTCATGGTAAATCCACTGAAACGGACCAGAGCGAGCTGACAGGCAGGTTAGCAACTTTATCCTGTCAGTTTCTCTCTCTTTACAAAGACAAGTGTTGCAGTTTGAGAGTTCTACCTGAAGAGAAGCTGTGAAGTCTCCATGTTATGCGATACGAGAACCACATGCAACATTATTTATCAAATTGACTCTAGACTTAATGAACTTAGCGCATGGATACAAATGTGACAAGGCCCGGTTTTCAAAATAAGGTATCTAAACAGTATGGAAATAAAATTAATTGGATGAAATTCACTTAAAGTATAAAACATATTACATGTGTCCATTATAAGTAAAACAACAACAACAACAACAACATGTTAGGGAATTTACCTATTCTATTCTTTGATTTAGGGTTTTTGGAAAAACATGACAAGTAGACTATACCTTACAAAATGATTTTCAGAAACATAGCGGCTTATGCAGATCAATTATAAGATCGCTGAACGCATTTCACGGTCAGACGATGGATTTATTAGTGGTTTAGCTTTGGAAATAATGCTCAGATCACATCTCTGCTATCATAAAATCCTGTGTTTGGTTCGTTTGCTTTCACACCACAAGCGAACCGCACCAGAGTTTGTTTGAAAGTGTTTGAAGCTTGTTTGGTCCGCTTTTGGTGCGCACCCAAGTGCGATTGCTGCATTCACACCTGCCCAAACGAACCGCATCAAGGGGGAAAACGAACTCTAGTGTGATTCAACCAAACTAAATGAGGCAGGTGTGAAAGCCCCCTTAAAATCCTGTGGGAAACACTGCTTCCCCTGGGTATTGAGACCTACACGCCAATCGCTCTTAGTAGTAGTTATTGCTGCTCTTCCTGTCTCTTGTAGATCTCTTACTTTATTGATGCATGTATGTTGTCCCTCAAATGTAAGTCACTTTAGATAAAAGCCAAATGTATCAACGTAAATGTATCCAGCAATAAAACACACTCAGGTTGTAAGTACTGCGGTCACACTTCCATGTAATTCCAGGTGAGACACACTGACAATCAAATGAGTTACATTCATTTGAAAAGGGGCTGTAATGTCTTAAAGCAGTAGTGTCATCATGTGTGAACAAAGTTGTACAAAGCTTATGTCAAACGATGTGCTTGGAACCCAGAAAATGCAGCATGTGGCTTTAATCTGACTTAAACCGCAAGTCAAGATGGAGAAATGCTGGATTGCCATTTCCAACACATCCCCTGCATCCTAAATGCCCACATCTTTGACACCCCACAACCTGAGTTTGTAATATAAGCTAACCTTTCAAGAATTTGATGTCTCAAGCCCAACCTGATAGGGCTATTTTTCAGACGTTGGAAAGCTCCCTTTATCAGTGAAGAGCCCCTATAATACATCATTGGTTATTTCCTTACCTTCTCTGGCACTGAGTCCATGACCAGGTCACCATACATGTTCATAACCTGAATAAAAACAATAGCAAAAGAAAGATTCCATATGTAAAGGCAGTTTGAAACTTTTCACAACTTTTCTGATCAGTGAGCAGCAATTACAAAATGGGTCTTTAACCCATTTTGTAACCCATTTTTTGTAAAGACATTTTAATGGATTTTTTTATCAATTAACAAAATGCAAAGTGAGCCAGAAAAAAGTTAAATCTAAATCACATCATTATTTGGTGTGATCACCCTTTGCCTTCAAAACATCATCAATTCTTCAGCAATGCCACATTAAGTGGCGGCAATTGCTCAGTCCGTGGAGAACAGGTGGATGGCCAGCTCAGGTCCAGCACGGACCAGTCGTACGGAATGTGGAGTGGTAGCTGCAGAGGTGCCAGTTCACCTCCTGGGCACTAGCAAAGGTGCCCTTGGGCAAGGCCCTTAACCCCTAAATGCTCCCCGGGTGCTGCACAGTGGCTGCCCACTGCTGCTAATTAGAATGGGTTAAAAGCAGAGAATGGATTTCAAACACCTTGTACTGTGTATAACTGTATATGTGACAATTATTATTTATTATAATAGCGCAAATGTTTTAGGGAAAGTAGAAATGATGTAAATGTATCCTGCCTGCGTTCTCTCTGTGGGTTTTGTCTGACTTCCTCCCAGACAAGACGTGCAGTTTAGGTTCATTCTAAACTGAACTTTCTATTGCCGTGAATGGTTGTCCATCTCTGCGTGTCAGCCAATTGACTGACTGACCAGGGTGTACATCTTGCCCTCTCGTCAGCTACAACCCTCCAAAGGATGAGCGGGGATACCAAATGGATGCAGTTTACTTTTATGAACAACTGATTCATCTTTCATAGTTCCAGGACAACGTTTTAAGTGACAGCATATTCTTTGGCACGTCATTGCTTTCCAGACACATTTTAATAATCCTTAGGAGCCTAAGGATCAAGTAGCAGTACATGAATTCTATGTGCTATGACAAGTCAAAATGCCATGAAAAAGGTCTATTGTTTTAAGGCCATAGTGTTTTAGAGTGTGTACTTTTGTACCTGGTCGTTGAGCCAGTTCTGTCCGTACAGAGTGCCTAGGTCATCCATTGTCAGAACATGGCGTTTGTAGTTGACTCTGAATGTTTTCGCCAGGGCCGATCCTGAAGAACGCTGGAAGGATTGTATTAGGTGCTGGACCACTGCTTTCCTAAAGAGGAACAAGTCGAACACATGGACACATTAGAAAGTTATTTACATAATTCATTCGCGTACATAGTAGGGCTGGGCGATATGGCCAAAAAGTCATATTCCGGTACTGTTAGGCAGAATTCCAGTATAAAATATATTGGCATTTTCTGCTAAGCAGGCTGGGGGGGGTATTAAGTATCACTCACTCGCCTCCCTCAGTTCTCTTCCCTCTCACAGACCTAACGTCTCCGCTCCAAACACGTCAGCGTTCCCCGCTTCTTATGCCGTTTTTCCATTACCAGCTCAACTTGCCTCAACTTGGCCGTCCTCCGTTTTCCATTGCAGATAGTACCCCTCAATCTAGCTGCTCGTCATAGCGACGCCACAAACAACTGCCGCGGTGTAATATTCAATGCGACACACACACCAGGGACGCACACACAGCTGTCTCTTGATTTTTTAAAAACGTTTCAACATTACTCAGGATGTAAAGACAGATAAGACGGAGGTGATACGAAGAAAGTACCTGGTAGTAGGTACAAGTACAACTTTTACACAATGGAAAACCAAAAGAAGGCGAGTAGAGCTGGTACCTTGCAGTGGAAAAGGGGCTTTACCGTCTCTCTCTCCCTGTATGTCCGCTTCAGTGAGTTTCTCCATCAGTAGCTGTAGGCTAGGCTGGATAAAGTCACCGAAAAAAAAACACAACTTGTCTTCTGGACTTTTCCTCCAGCTGAGCTGCATGTTATCAAAACATCTGTTGCTTTAACGGTGGTTCCCTGAACACACTGTTTGTACGCAAGCACGCTGCATTTCCCTGCCTTCTTAACACTGTTGTGTTTACAAACTTGTTGCCACTGATTTGGTAACACCTGTGACACACCCACCATATCAGCCTGTGTTGGTGACATATGTGGTGACGTTCGAAGCCTCGCGAGCCAGTCGTACTACGTGACTGATTCAGGAAATGGTTTGAGAGTTTGGCATGCGATTCCAAAGGAGCAGCAAAATGCAACGGACCCTCCACAACATTTTGTGGACTTTTGATATTTGATCAACTTATGTCAGAATTGCTTTGATCAAATAACTTCAAAAATTGTGATGAAACAGAGGACATTTTTAGTTGAGTAAGACTAGCGCCAGTTTTGACATTTTGTGTTTTATGTAAGAATTAAACTAGGGGCTCTTACCCCATATTACCCTAACAATTATTTTCTAAAGCAGGTATAATAATCTACAAAAAAGAAACCATCTTAAAAGTTATTTTAAATAAAAATGAATTAAATGTTGTCTGTATTATCTAAAGTCACAATGACAAGGTCAAAAGGGAAAGTGGAAACAAGGGAGAGGGTTATGATGTGACTGTGCTTGTGTTACTTGGTTTGTATCATAAACACAGACACCTTATTAATTAAAAAAGTTAATCATTTATGTATTGGCATCAAACATCATTCATTAATTTATTCAATTCAAAGCTTCACACACCAAAGCCGTGGTTCCATTATAATCACTTTTCCTGTTTTACATTGATTGTCCACTTGATGACACACTAGAGCAAATGAAGCACCATTAAGCTTCGGCCCATGAGTGAACCAACTGGATGGAAAGCTTCAATGCTTCATGAAGCTTCATCTCGCCATCACTATGTAGAATTATTCTGCCTTTTATAACCTACAATGCGACTTATAATTTAATTCCCATTTGCAATGTCAAATATGCATATGGAATGAATGAAAAGTTAAGAGACGTTCCAGCGTGCATTCTGACTTCTTGGGGTATCTTCCTTCAAGAGTGCTAGAGTTAGGCTTAAAAACATTTAAATTGTGTGCTGTTCTAGTGGTCAACTGACTATAATCTAGTTTAGTCTCGCTGCAGCTCATCTGTTTCATTGAATTTATTTGAAAACGTTTTTTAATATTTAATTTAACCACTGGTATTAATCAACACTGAAATGACATTTAACAACCTATCAGAATCTGGGAAACTTGGCTCCAATAGTGGCACATGGCACTCCACGTGTGAACAGACAGGCAGGCAAGCAGTGCCTCCACAGAAGGGACACATGTGAACAAGGAGGTCACACCGTAGGGTGAGAAAATATCTAACTTTTGTCAAAAACAGCACTGGAAAGCTGGCTGATGTGCACTGCAGTTAAAAAAAAAAACAAGCTAATGTAAGACCTGCTAATGTAAGACCTGCTGCTGCCGACGCTCCTTTGCCAAAAGTGGGTTGTGAGTTTCCTTGTATGCAGGGTCAGAAGGGGCCCCCCCGAGCGTTGAAGACGGGTGGAAATTAACTTTTTGGCTCGTCTGCCAAAGGGACTGCTAGACGAAAAAAAAATACACCGTCCAAGCTTATCGTTTACCCGCCAAAATAACTTGCCTTTTTTACGTTCACGTACACATTTGTTTCAGTCCTTTAATTGAGATAATAAGGTAATATGTCGAATACAAATTTAAAGAAGATGCCATATTGATTTTATTGCTATTAAATGTACTTAAGACATAACAGTAATTTTTTTTATAACCTTACAAGATGCTTATTAAATCATTGAACTTAAGTCTCCTCAACAATTAATAATTGTTCTGCTTGAGCCTCCTTTTTGTCAGAAGTTTATGTGTTGTTGGTTTGGTTACTAAACCTGGTAAATGTCCAACATTACCATACCTGTTAACAATGGGATTTAAAAATAAGGGAAACCCCCAATCGCCGGAAGTTTAAAAATTTTGAACTTTGGGAAAAATGCTGCGTTTGTCACTGTCACTTTTTACTCAGCTGGACAATCACAGGACAAATAGGAGGGGCAGGACAAATACCACACTGTAGCAATGATCACTATCCTGGAACCGGACTTGTCGAACCTCAGCTCTTGGACTAAGCGGTGGTATTCGCAGAGATGTTTCCTCGCCCACAAAATCTCATGAACCCACATAGGGCAAGTCCGTCCTCTCGCTCTCTACCTGCTTCAGCCTTCTCTTCAGACAGAGGAAGGACTCTACTCTGTGTTGACATTTTTACATCCGGTAAAGTGAGGTAGAACCACTTGCAACAAATGTATCATAGCAACCAAACGTAAAAACCCTGCGTCTCAAAAACACCCACTAGCGCTCCCTGCTGGGCGTTTTCAGAAGAGTAGCTGGTGTTTTCAGGTGGCAAAAAAAGCTTTGGTGGACACGGGCCCTAAAGATCCCTTGGTACAGCAGGGACCAATTTAACTGCGACACACAACAAACAACAACGTTGATCTGCTGTTAGGCTGCATCAAATAGATATTATTTGGGGATATCGTATCAAATACATTTAGCCGCCAATGTGACAAGTAGCCTTCCAACATTTAGCCGCCAAACGGAAAATCTACCCACATTTGGCGCTTGCGGGTGTTAAGTTCCAGCCCTGGTTGAGGACACCTATGCAACTTTTTTAAGAAAGTGGTTTGCTTCTCTTCCAGAAAGTAATAAAACACGTGCCTGTGAAAAATCTTTGGTTCCTTTCATCCTGACGGACACAGGTGCCTATGTCTGTGTTTGTCTGTTCCAACTGCTCCGCTGCAAAACCTTGTCTGCCCACTTTCTGTCCCCAACGCAGAGTTGGTACTTAAACAGCAGGCTGAGGCAAATTGTACAGGTGCTGGTCATATAATTAGAATATCATCAAAAAGTTGATTTATTCCATGATTTATTTATTCCATTCAAAAAGTGAAACTTCGATATTATATTCATTCATTCATTCATTCCACACAGACTGATATATTTCAAATGTTTATTTCATTTAATTGTGATGATTGAAACTGACAACTAATGAAAATCCCAAAATCAGTATCTCTGAAAATTAGAATATTACTTAAGACCAATACAAAAAAAAGGAATGAATTAGAAATGATGGCCAACTGAAAAGTATGAACATGAAAAGTATGAGCATGTACAGCACTCAATACTTAGTTGGGGCTTCTTTTGCCTGAATTACTGCAGCAATGCGGCGTGGCATGGAGTCCATCAGTCTGTGGCACTGCTCAGGTGTTATGAGAGCCCAGGTTGCTCTGATAGTGGCCTTCAGCTCTTCCGTATTGTTGGGTCTGGCGTATCGCATCTTCCTCTTCACAATACCCCATAGATTTTCTATAGGGTTAAGGTCAGGCAAGTTTGGCCAATGAAGAACAGGGATACCATGGTCCTTAAACCAGGTACTGGTAGCTTTGGCACTGTGTGCAGGTGCCAAGTCCTGTTGGAAAATGAAATCTGCATCTCCATAAAGTTGGTCAGCAGCAGGAAGCATGAAGTGCTCTAAAACTTCCTGGTAGACGGCTGCATTGACCTTGGACCTCAGAAAACACAGTGGACCAACACCAGCAGATGACATGGCTCCCCAAACCATCACTGACTGTGGAAACTTTACACTGGACTTCAAGCAACGTGGATTCTGTGCCTCTCCTCTCTTCCTCCAGACTCTGGGACCTTGATTTCCAAAGGAAATGCAAAATTTACTTTCATCTGAGAACATAACTTTGGACCACTCAGCAGCAGTCCAGTCCTTTGTCTTTAGCCCATGCAAGACGCTTCTGACGCAGTGTCTTGTTCAAGAGTGGCTTGACACAAGGAATGCGACAGCTGAAGCCCATGTCTTGCATACGTCTGTGCGTGGTGGTTCTTGAAGCACTGACTCCAGCTGCAGTCCACTCTTTGTGAATCTCCCCCACATTTTTGAATGGGTTTTGTTTCACAATCCTCTCCAGGCTGCGGTTATCCCTGTTGCTTATACACTTTTTTCTACCACATCTTTTCCTTCCCTTCGCCTCTCTATTAATGTGCTTGGACACAGAGTTCTGTGAACAGCCAGCCTCTTTAGCAACGACCTTTTGTGTCTTGCCCTCCTTGTGCAAGGTGTCAATGGTCGTCTTTTGGACAGCTGTCAAGTCAGCAGTCTTCCCCATGATTGTGTAGCCTACAGAACTAGACTGAGAGACCATTTAAAGGCCTTTGCAGGTGTTTTGAGTTAATTAGCTGATTATAGTGTGGCACCAGGTGTCTTCAATATTGAACCTTTTCACAATATTCTAATTTTCTGAGATACTGATTTTGGGGTTTTCATTAGTTGTCAGTTATAATCATCAAAATTAAAAGGAATGAACACTTGAAATATATCAGTCTGTGTGGAATCAATGTATACATTATACAAGTTTCATTTTTTGAATGGAATTACTGAAATAAATCAACTTTTTGATGCACCTGTATGTAAAAAACCTGTGAATGGGGAACCAGCTGAGCATTCACTTGTCGACCCCTGGCCTCCATCTTGGCCTACAGCAAAATGTATGTGTACGTGTGTGTTGGCTCTGATTTGGGTTTTGAGTCTCTTTGTGAATGTTAGTGCAGGTATGCCTGTGGAGGTCCATAAAGACCCTGAAATGCCCACACTTGATAAGTTGGTCTGTTGTGTTGCAGTCACTTTGTTCTTAACATTTTACATGTGAGACGAGATATCGTAGGGTTCGTTGCCCTGTGTGTTTGTGTGATGTATCGTTGTGTTAAAGTTTTATGTCCTTTCTGCCTCTTTATCCATGGGCAGCATAGCTACATCACAGGATCCTGATGGCAAGTATGTTATCTATTAGTCATATTGTTTACTTTTCACATGACTTTATCCTGGTTGTATTTTAGTTATTGCTGTGGATCCCACTGGGACTTTGTTCCTCTCTTGCAGGTTTGTGTAATTGGTAAGAGGGGCTGTCCATTTGGGCTGACTGGGAGCACCTGGACCCAGTACTCCCAGTCACTATTAAAGCTGCATGAGTTTTGCTTGGTTCCTTTATTAGTTTGCCCACCACACCACACTTCCCCACACCCACTGACTATACTGTCATCTACATCTCATGTCTTTTGCATTTTCATTTGTGTTGGTAGATAAAATCAGTTAATTTAAGTGCATTTTTGGTGTCGCTCCATTATTTTCTATGGCCCATTTAGCAGGACATGACCCACAGGAGAACACTGGACAACACTGACCTGTGTGGCTGTGAGAAGCTCTCGTTGAAGATGTCCTGAAGCTTCTCCACAATGTCGTCCACATGGATGGGGATCAAACTGCCATAGTGCTGTAGAGACTCTTCAAGAATACCTTCGAGACACAAGAAAGCCGTAAGACGTTTTAATTAAACCATCATCTTCACAAACAGCAGGACAAGAATTCAGGGACGCAAAGTCATCAGGGGTTAGAAAGATATGAATCCCCTAGGGGTGTCGGGGGCTAGTAAATATGAATGTGGTTTATGCTCTTTACAGCTTTTGCAGGTGCTGTTTTGTCAAATAACTGATTTCATAACTCAACTAAAAGAAAAACTTTCACAAGGTAATTGCAATGCAGCTGTCATTTCCAGTGAGCTTGGTATTTGCCCGCTTCTCAAGCGACATCATTAGGCTATTGTAGCAAGCATTCTGTTTCGACTACATCATAAGTATAACCTAGGTCAATTTGAGCTAACAAATCAAAAAGCAAATAGTTTAATTACATCATGGTTATGACAGTGTTAGCCTTATTAATATTATCTTAGCAAAAAGAAAATGGAACCATCAGGGGCTAACGTTGGGTCTAGGCCTAACGTGCTAATAAATAATATAAAATGAAACATAACAGCAAATATATAATAAAAATACGCTAACAAGCAAACAAATAACCAAAAATAGCCACACTGGCATAGTGCTGTTTGTCTAACTAGTGTTTTGTTTTTTCAGAGTGAATATCAAAAGGTATAACAAATTATGTGAACACCCTAATCTGGACAAAATCCTGTTAGAAACAAAACAAACAACAGCTTTAAATCGATCTGACCAATAGCGAACATAAGCTAACAGGCCTCAGTCTTTGATGAATACCTGTCACACAAGTCACGTGTTCCTCAGTCAGGGCCAGCTCCATTGGTTTGACCTCCACTTCCCGTCTCCCTCTGTCCTCTTGCTTGTCTGGTGAGCAGCCATTTATCTGTTTATCTGCCAGAGAAAAGAAAAAGAAATTACACACACAAATTTTTTAGTCTGTGAAGATTCTTAGACTTCAAGTGAGCAATCTGGTGAAGGTAAAATGTTGTGTCATGGTATAATCTCAAGTATCAAACTCGATACTTTGACAACCCAGATTAAAATCTGTGAAATCTCCATAAAGAAAATTGGGGGAAAAGGCACTGGGGGCTGTGAAGGAGGACATGAGTTTGCTAATGTTGCTGTACTTTAACACAGGTGAAACTAGACGTTACATAAGAGCAATATTTATTTTATTAAGTAAAGAAATAAACCTTCACAAACTCCAACTTCATTATATTTATCTAGTCACAATAACCCAAAAGCCACTTGGGCTTTTCTCAGCTTTCTGAAGGGTGTAACGTTGGCAAACCCACTATGATGAGAGTATTTTAAGAGGCTCATGTGATTTGTTAATAGAAATATAGAAGAGTCAATCTATTCTGTCCACATCGACTAGCCTTTATAAGTAAATGCAGTTTATGTCAGTACCTCTCTGAGATTCAATGAACCTCCCATGGTTGCCCTCGTCCTCTCCATCGGTGTACGGCGGTTGCTGAAACCTTTTTATCTTCTTCTGCTTGCCGTACAGATTGTACCTTTGCCCTCTCCGGCTCCACCGGTGCCCTTGGGAGCATACCCACTGGGCCCGCTGGCGCCAGCTCTTCCAGTGCTGGGTGAGCCGAAATCCAAGGCCTCCAGATCGCAAACGCTGCCAGCGCCTGAGCCTCTTCACAGCCCTGTACCTGCTGAGGTGGGACCTGAACAAGTTCCCTGATCCTGCCTGGGAGACAGTATCCTCTACAGGGACATCACCGCCTTCTTCTGGCTTCTGTTGTGGTCCATAATGTTGGTATTGTTGTGAATGAGGGTGCTGGGCGGACTGGGAGGGAAAGTCTGGGATCTCACACTCCACCTCCACTTGGTCTCCATCCTCTTCCAACTCCTCCTCCTCTTCTTCTTCCTCATCTTCATTGTTATTCCAAACCTCGCCCTCAAACTCACCCTCCTCCTCCCCGTCCAGATAGTTTTCGTCACCTATTGGCTCAATCCTACCCATCCCATCCTCCTTGTCTACGTACTCGCCTGTCCACGCCTTCTCTTTCTGCCCCAGTCTGAGGTGCATGGGGCTGGGTACACTGTGGCCTGACACTGGGACTATGAGGTGGTCTCCAGGGATCCCACCTAAACACAAACATGAGATATGATTACTTATCAGCTGTGTACAACTATGTGCCATTGTGACCCAAATACTACTGGAGTTCATTTCATGTAACAAAGTACTGTGTTCAGTTAAGATACAAATAAACAAATGGTTGCACTTAGACATAAGAGCAGACAGTTCGTAGATAAAGTTCAAACAGCATATCATCATCATTAAAACTGGCACTAGGAAATGTTTGGTTGTAAAGCAACTCAATAAACCAATAACAAATAATCAATTACAATAATTGCAGATTATGATTCTGTTGATGGACTAAATGATTAAGTGACTTGACCATTTCAGTTCTAGTTTAGTTACTTTAGTTAAGGATAAGGATGTTTCACAACCTGAGAGACAGCGACTGTCTCAGCGAACTGTTGCACTGTTCGCTGCATGTCAGGTTAAATCTTGATAATTCTTGTTTGTAGTTTACTTTCTGTATTTTTATTTTTGTTATAACTTACAATTGCTAAATTGAATGGTCATGATTGGATTAATTCTAGCTATGTTCAAATGTAAAACTTTGTGATTTTGCTGCAAACGGCTTTGGCAACATTGTTTAACTGAAACATTCAAGCCAATAAAGCACATTGAATTGAATTCTGAAAGCTAAACCTAGATAGATTGCCTCAGTTATCTGTCTCCATGTTTGTTTCTTCTTGTTAGTTATTGAATTTGATTGCTTGGCGTAGTTAAGCCTAGGCTTAAGTTTGGTTGGTGCAACAGACGTAAATGTAAATGCTCCGTATTTGTATAGCGCCTTTCTAGTCTTCGCGACCACTCAAAGCGCTTTTACACTACATCGCATTCACCATTCACACACATTCATACACTGGAGGAACAGCCACCAGGGGTAATTTGGGGTTCAGTATCTTGCCCAAGGACACTTCGACATGCAGCCTGGAGGAGCCAGGGATTTGATAAGGGATTGAAAAGGATTCAGATGTGATTGGATAAAATGTCATCAAACCCTAACCCTTATACTCCTCATAACTTTAACTGTGGGTGTGTCTGTATTAGTTACAATTTAAATGTTTCATTTTCTAATATTCATATTCACATAAGATAACCTAAAGATAAATGCGAGCATCAGTTGAGATGGTGAAATTTTTTTGGGCACCTTTGCAAACTAGATGGTGTTGCAAGTCAGATGACACAACGAATACATCCTGTCTTGGTCATGAACCAGATAAAAAGTAAGCAAAAGGTAATTAAAAGTATGTACTCATGTACTCAAAACATTACCGTAAAAAGCACTGTTGCAGAACACAGCTTGAGCTGGAACAATTCATTTATTACACTGATAAGTTGACAGACAGAAAATTTTCAATGTTTTGATATTTTTTTATACCAAACAATTTGTCAATTAGTAAAGTGTTCAAGTAAAATCACCTCACAAATTCAATTCACCTGAGCAACTACTCATTAAATGATTTCTACCTGAATATCTGAACAGGTTATACATGCTCAGAACAGTTCAGTGCTAGACCTTCATCAGGCAAAATTAAATCATAAATGCTATGCCTCCCATCTCTTCCCATTATTTTTTTGGGCGAAGGTGTCTGTCAAGATTCTCAGTCATCCGAGTCATAGCTATCCAAGGAAGGTTGATTCAAGGGCAACTGGACTTGACTACTTGATACATTCGACTCTCATCCAAGAGGCTTCTCCAGTCCGTGTATCATCAGCTTTAGTGTTTAAAATTACACCTCTACTCAAGAACTGTAGGTTTTTAGGCCAGGGTAACGTCAGTGAGTGCGGTCAATGAAACCTCGCTCAGCAGTCTCCCAGTGAACACGGCATGAACAAGACCAAACCCATAGACCAACAGGGAATACAGTGCAGAGGTGATTTAAAGCATTTCTTTAAGAACAGATACATTTACTTTTTGCTAAACCGCAAACAGCTAACGTTACTAACTGTATCTGTAGCTAATTAGCTCTGTTAGCCGGGCAAGCTAGCTGTCCAGAGTCAGCTTAAACTGGCCTCTGCCAGTCTCGGAGGCTGTGTTGGGTCCCGGTCCGGCCATAGAGTTCACTCAGTAGCCTTGTTACCATCCAATTGTCATGCGAATTTTAAGCGTACTTTTGAAATGTCGCATAAAAAGAAAAAATAAGACATTGGGAAATAAGTGCGTTTCCATCAGCTGGTTTGGAGCGAATAAGCCAGGCTACGGCAAGCGCAGTTACGTCAGTAGTTGACATTACACATGGCTGTAATAAACAAGATATTATATTTATAATATTATATTTGATTCCAAACCAGAAACAAAACTAGTTGCATGAACCTGATGGCCACTGATCTAAGAAAAATGGAGAGGGGTCCTCAGGAATGTGTTTCAAGCAGGCAAGTTGCTACCTTTAAGAGGTGAATGCATAATTTGGCAGAACAGATGATGAAGGCTACCTGCCCAGATTTGCATCCACCTCTTTTCTCAGCACAAATGAACGTTAACCAGCCACATCAGAGGTGCATTCGCTACATCAGAAAAGTGTTTCCATCTCCCATTTAATCTTTTTCGACAAAGGCAAAAACCACCTCAAGCGAGCGTAAAAAGGTTTTACCGAAATTAAGTATTTTGTTTGAATTTTGCTGTTTCCATCAACCTTTTCTAACGATGGAAACATGGCTAATGAGAGCTGAACCAGTCTGCTCAGAATGGGGTGGGGGCGTAACACACATACAGCGCTATTGGCTACTGTAAACGCCAGTCAATATCTTCAAGTCCTTCCCTGTCTTTGTGTTTTTAAAACATTTGCATATTAAAATCTTTAAAATGTTATAAGAACAAAACGAAGCAGTTATTTGTTGTTTGAATGAATCATTAGGCTACATTGTATACAATTTAATAAAGTTGTTATTTTTCTCTTTTAAACCAATAACTTAAAAAAAAGTCTTAAAAACCAACATGAAAATGAATTGTGATAAGATATTTTTGTCATATCGCCCACCTCTAATTGAAAATTTTCCCTCAATTACAATTAATGAACGATTATTTTGTTGTTTCGTTTTTTGTCCTCATTGTTCACTGACATGGTTTGAACAGTACATATGCTCGACTATTAAAGGTGGTCAGTTAGAACTGAAGAAGCATCTTCATTCAAGTCCAGCTAAACTCGATCCATCTCTCCTTGGATTGTGTTAAGGTGGTTTCCCATGACTTCATCACAGGATTACAGAGTGCTATGCAGTTCACTTGGAAGAGGACTGAAACACATATTTAACCATTGCTTGTACCTGCTCCAGGCAAGTGAACTGAAGAAGTAAATGCTTGTGAAGTTCAGCAAAAATGATTCATATAAGATTACATTCAACTATCGCCATTACGCAGAGTAGTTAGCACCCAACCATTAGTTGCAGAAATGTAGTGTTTTATACAGATGCTATATCTTCAGGGTTCCCACTCTTGTCCCACTCTCAGGACATTTTGGGACATTTTCAGCGATGATCTAGCTGGTATGACAGACAGCGATAATGTCATACACAAATAAGCTCCTCACGGCAGAAATCTGATTTTAAAGACGCGCAGTCTATGGCTATAACTTATCTATGAATCATCTCTTACATGCATAGAAATTATGACAAACTGATCTTGCCTTGTTTTATTGCTATGTTTCAATTTATTTATTTTTTGTTTCTTTTGGAAAGCCCTTTGTGTTCTATGCTTGGCAAGTGCCTTATTTATGAATTATATTTTAACCACCGCTCCCATGAAACACCAGTAATTTAATAGCCTTAACACATTTAGCATAAAAATCACAGCATTTTTTTGAACCTTAGCTTTCTAAAATCACTGTGGTCCTCAGCTGAATTGCAGTGTAACAGTATTTTTCTGTCCGTCTATTGGACCACTGTCACAACACTGCTGTCACACACACACACACGGTTATAGGTAACATTCAATATTGTAGTCTGTGCCTGAATAGTGCAAATAACATGTATGTTGAAGTGAGTGCTATAGATATATCGATAATAATATGATTAATACTATAAGCCTAGCTAGAATGTAAACAATATTAAGCACAAGCAAAATGCCTACCTCCTCCTGTGTCGTCCTGCCCCACAGCAGTCAGACCCAGATCTCCCTGCCAGCGGTTCTGGGCCAGGCTACCGCCACTGTCTCGCATTATCCACGGACAACCCACGACCTGCGCCAGCTCGTCACCTACAAACAACAAACAGACCACAGTGGAGGTGTAACCATACAGTCAGCTCACACATCGCTTTGAGTGACCAAGTTTTGTTGTAAGCTTGGACACTAGTCTGCGGTGTCACAGTAACGTCAGCCTGAACTAAACCAGCATCGATTCTGTGTCTTAAAGACAGTGCAAATACCTCAGAAGCATTGCTCTACAGTGCAAGTATATCACGCGCATATTACCCTAAAAATAGATATGTACGAACCGGAAGAATTATTTACAAGCACAGTGTGCGTAATCTTCCACCCTCCCACCCCTGCTGCTAATCATTCAAATATAGATGGACTGGCAGGAGAGATGCGTCTTCAGCAGTTGAAGCCATAAAACAAAAGACAATATGGATAAGAAAAAGAAGGTTTGGGTTTGGCAAGCTGGACATTTAGCTATAAATCGGGTACCTTTTGTTGAAACATGGTCAACTTTATATATAGCAGATGACCTCGTCAATGTCACAGGAGGTTTTGGCCCACGGGGATTTCTTTTAAATACTTTTACCTCATAATGTAAAGCTCTGGCCAGGTTTAACATGGACATCTGACACTGTAACATTATAGATGTGCTAGAAAATATGGAAAAGCATAATAGATCCTTTTTAAAAACAGTTTAACATGCTACAGCAAACTTTCAAATGTTGAACGTATTGTTCTGCATGAGGGGTTGTGATTATCAGCAAGTTAGTACTTAGCATTAACAAATTAGAGACTAACCATTATACAGGCCCTTTTTCTTGCACAAGGTTTGAATTAATGAAAAGAACTCAAAAATGAAACTCCTAGGGGATCAACATTATACTAGTGGTAAGCTATATAGTATACTATTAATAAATTATTAATATAAATTATAATGAATAGAGTACATCATATAATTAATATTTGAACATTATACTACCAGTATACTATTAACATACTTTTTATTTAATGTTACAATTATAAAATACTAATACACTAATTTAAACAAGTCACTCATCCAGGTTGTGGATGGTGTCTCTGCAGTGGACAGATGTAGATTTAGCCAGAGCCAGGATGCCAATATGTGCTCCTTCTTGCCACCTCCTCCTGAGAGCAACACGTTCCCCTTGTTCTGTTTTACATCTGTTTTACTGAAGCTATTCTTATAGATAATGTTCAATAATCTTGTTTACATAAAGTGTGCCGTGGGTGGTGCTGGTGTATCATTCCAAATCTACGTGTCCCACACGCCACATCATGGCAATCACGGTAGAGTTTTCTGTGATGAGTAATCTTTTTTTCTATTTTTTTTTTTTTTTTAAATTCCCCCAAAAACATACGTTATATTTTAAGGCCCATGCAGAGTGGCCTAGGTACTAGGGTCTCCCACTTCCATAGTCCTCCACTGGTTTTCACAATAGAATTGCACATAAGGACAAAGAGCGCACACACACACACAGTATAAATATTAATAAATAGTTAATAAACTGTGTTAGATGAACATGTAACCACAATGTGTATAATCACATTTCTATGCCGCATCCCTAATTAAACAAGATATAATTATTGACAGAAAAGGACAGAAAATCATGTAAATTCGGCTGCCTTTAGGGAAACCATTATCAAAACTGCATTAACTTATGTTAAATGTGAGGAAGTGGGGACAAGAAGCCCTGACACTGATTAAGTTTCTGCCCTGTGTCTGACCTCGACATTCCAACAGTTACTATGTGATTCAGTAATCACAAAACCAACCAGGAGAAGATGTGAACACTAATATTTTAGCTGTAATCCAGCAGTGGACTGCATCGTCAAATGTAGTTTGTCATGTGAAAAACATGTCTACTGTCTGCCAGGAATGACAACCTGTATGCCTTAATTTAAAAGTAATATTTTCACAGAAGCAGCCTGTGGCAGGCTAAATGCCCTGGCATCACTTTTCCAAGAAATACACAACATGAAGATGATAAAGACCGATGGCCTACTAACGGAACACTGATATCTGTTCATTCACAACACCATTGGGTTGCTATGGTGGGAATTGAATCATTCTCGTTTTATTAGCTAATGAGACAGAGTTCACGCGTTTAGCAAACCACATGCTTAACTACGTTCTTCAGTATTTATTTATTTTTTAAAAACAGCATGTTTCTGTCCTTTCACATGCACAACAAGAACCGCTGCGTTAACACCGGGACTCTTGTTACCATGTGCACCTGGTCGGAGAGCGGATGTGTAATTTAGCTTGCTAGCTACACAGTGGATTTAAATTAGTGTACTAAAGAAAAGCTACGAGAATAACTGAGCTACTGTGTGACATAGCTTTTCTAATAGTGAAACATCTGATGCGACCTGTGTCCTGTGCAGGAGATAGTTATTTGAGAAAAGCTGCTCTATGATGAGAACAATACTTTCCGGTGCAGGAAATAGTCTTTACCAAAGCTAGCTTATGCGCGTTGAGCGCTAGCAGCGTCACCGTCATAGTTTCACCACTTAAACCTAAATAATAATAGCAACTGGTATTTTGTCAGTAACTGTGGTATGCCAAAGCCACTGCACCACTATAAGCAACAACCTGAAATAACCAGACGTCTTCAATAATCCGTTGTCTATCCGTGCTAACGTATTGGGTTAGCTGGTTAGCCATGTTGTCGTTTGCTAGCTAACGTTACGCGTTAGGTAGGCAGAAACCATGTTAGCAACAACAAAATAAAAAACCCCGGCTTACTGCATTTCTTTCATAGCTAACGTAGATGTCGCAATTGTATACTTACCGTTAACCTGCAGATTTAAATGACTGTGTCCAGTTGCTTCCGACTGAAAGCTGGGCGTGTTTAATTTTGTGTGGGTATCGAACCAAAACAATTGCTAATTGGTGTTAACCCTCATTCAATGAAGTAAGGTGTCGAGCAGCCAGATGTCACCTCCTTGCGAACTTTGATTTCTTTAAGGTCTTCCGGTTCAGAGAAATAAAAGGCAAATATTTAAAAGAAACGGTGGATTGTAGTCAATGATTTGCGTGAAATCGACAGGAATAATCTATGTCGATTTGAACAGGTAGGAAGGATGCGTTGAGCCGGATCACTGCAGATTTTTTGCTCTCATGTCAACCACAGGTCCGTCGCGCAGCAATGGCGTCATACAGTGTTTTTAAAAAATATATAACATATTTAGCCTTTCATTTTTTACCCCCAACTTCAGTCACTGGTGGAAAAAAACTTATAACTAATTATTTTGGTGGTTTAAATAACCAAGAAGATAATAGTAATAACACGCGTATTATTGTTGTAGTTATTGGATTACTCATCTTGAGTCAAATTTCGATAGGCTGGTCGTTTTCTTTTTCCAGTTATTATGCTAATTAAAACATTGTTTAAGTAGACACTGATGACTTATATAATAGATGGTAACATAGGTACACGCATAGGGTGGCTTTTTTTTCTCCACTGATTTTTTCTTAATCCTTGAAGTGTTTATTTTAAGATTCTGCCAGGTAACAAGCTGATATAATGTCCCATGCGGTTTCAAACACATCTTGACTCTGTTTCAGGACAAAAAAAAGCAAAACAAAGCCAAACAATGTTAGGTCACAGCTATATTTGTCTTTTTATTTACCTCAGAGGGCACAACTTTTGTAAAAACTTTCCACATGGTAATTTTACTTCCTTCAATGCCTTGAAGCGGGAACAAAGGGAGAGGGGATCATATATACATGCTACTTGCGATAACAGACTCTGAAGCAGCACCTTCACCCACAAATACCCTTCACATGGTAGACATTGGAGGGCTTGCCTATCTAGAATTCAACTGGACACAACTGGGTTCATAAAAACTGTTATAAAAGATTAATAGATAACTTGGAGTGGAGATTTCTAATTCCTTCCTCTCAAAATTTCAAATTTAAAATACAAAATGTTGACTAAGAAAAAATGTATTAGTGTTGGAATATTAATATAATCTCAGTGTAAATGTCCTCTGCATTTCTCTGCAAAGTAACTTTCATTTTTGATAAATGTTTATCCTGCTGAAGGTCATGGGGACAAGACAAAAATAATTGCATTAAATTGACCTGCTTGGACTTGGTCTTGGTGTGAGATGACAGTGCTACCGAAGCGCTAGACAAACGGCAACAGAAATCAATAGATCACAAAATGACTCCTGGAAAGCATTAAACTGTGTCTGTTGAAGGATTTCCTAGTCATGTTTTTTCACTACCTGATCTGAGTCCTTAAGTACTAAGTGCCCATACATAGTTTAATCTCATGCATTTTCAAATTAATTATCTGCATATTTTTTCCTTAATAATATGACTGCACAGTGCACCGTAGTGTAAAATGCATGGGGAGCAAAGCAAGTTGTCACATCACACTAATGTATGAAGGATATTTGTGACGAGAGACCATTGGCATTGGAGGGCTTGCCTATAGACACAACTGGATACAACTGGCTTCATCAAAACTGTTAAAAGATTCATTGGTTAATTTACAAGCATCAAACGCTTCCACAGTGGTGAATCATCATCATCGATAAAGGACTCCCTATGCCTGCACAAATCTCAGACAGTTTGATCTGAAGGCACTATACCTTGTTGTTTCCTAATCATTGTATTTTCTGTGACAAGAAGGTCAAGGGCAAAACTGAACATCTTATGAAGTTTCAGAGCTGGAAACCAGCCTGGAAAGTCATCAAGATTAGGGCAAAGGAATTGAAAAAGAGCCTCTTTAGCGCAAGGTGAATACCAAATACCTTTGCAATGGAAGCAAAGTCCAATCCTGTTTCCAAAAAAAGTTGGCATGCTGTCACTGTCCATCCATCCATCCATTGTCAACCTCTTATCCTGTGTACAGGGTCGCAGGGGGCTGGAGCCAATCCCAGCTGACATCAGGTGAAAGGCAGGGTACACCACAGACAGGTCGCTAGTCCATCCCAGGGCCACACATATACAAACAACCACTTGTACTCAGACTCACACCTAATAACAATTTTAGAAACACCAATTAACCCAGCCTGCATGTCTTTGGATGGTGGGAGGAAGCTTGAGTGTTGGCATGCTGTGTGAAATGTAAACAGAAACAATATGTAATCATATGCAAAACATTGAAACCCCATATCCTGCTGAAATAAACAAGGCTGTCCCTGAAAAAGACAGCTTCTACTTAGCAGTATATGATTCTCCAACATCTGTATATATCATTCAGCTTTAATGATGCCTTCATAGATGTGCAGGTTACCTGTTCCAACTAATGCACCCCCGTACCATCACGGATGCTGCCTTTTACACTGGCCACAGATAACAAACTGGATGTCCTTCTCCTCTTTAGTCCAGAGTACGTGAGGTCCATGATTTCATATTTGGACTTGTCAGACCACAGGCCAGTTTTCCACATTGCCTCAGTCCATCTTAAATGAGCTTGGGCCCACAGAGGGCAGCAGCATTTCTGGTTCTGGTTTATATACGGTTTCCTCTTTGCATGGTAGAGTAACAGCTTGCATTTGTGGATGCAGCAACAAACACTGTTCACAGACACTGGTTTTTGGAAGTGTTCCTCAGCCTGTGCAGTGATGTCCACTACAGAACCCTGTGCCGTCTTAGGGCCTAAAGTCCACGGCCGTCCAATAGCCTATTGGTTTTCGGCATTGTCCCTTGAGTACAGAGATTTCTTCTGTTTCTCTGAATCCTAATGTTATGATGTACTGTAGACAATGAAATCTCTGCATACTTTGCAATTTTACATTGATACACATTATTCTTAAATGATTGCAATATTTGGCAGCACAGTTTTTCACAGAGTTCTTCATGAAGACCCAGCCTTTCTGGAATGCTCTTTTTACACCCAATCGTGTTACAAACCTGTTGCCAGTTAACCTTATTAATTGTGAGATGTTCTACCAGGTCTATGCCTGTAGCATTGCACAACTTTTCCAGTCTTTTGTTGTCATTGTCCCAACTTTTTTGAAAGTTGTTGCTGGCATGACATTCAAAATGGGCTTAATTGTTTAAAAAAACATTAAAATTTCAAGCTTCAACATTTATTAAGTTGTCTTTGTGCTATGTTCAATCAAATACGGGGTATTCTGAAACTCTGTCTACTAGCAAGACTATGCTGGTTAGCAGCCCAGAGACTATGTTGTCCAGTCAGAGTTAGTTCCTGTGCTGCAACTGTTCTGTGAGCCAGAAATACAAAACCTGGTGCCAGAGGTGGTGGACACTACTCTGAAGTTCCTCCTTGAGGAACCAGGGCTGGAAGACAAGTGTAAAGCTGCCAGAGCTGAGATTGGCAAATTGCTGACTAACTTAGCAGCTCCTTGCCTCTCTCAGTTTGGATCTGTATCTAAAACTCTTCTGCTTAGCGTCTGCACTACAGCGGCCTGATTCATGGGCTGTTTACGGTTTTATTTATTTACTTTCATTTTTAATATTTATTTTTATGTAATTTTTATATTTTATATATTTTATTTTATTTTTTATTAACAAAAACAACTTTTACCGTTTTTTTAACTTATTTAATGAAATGTATGAAAAAAATTTTTAAATTTTGAATTGAATTAACAGCTAACAAAAAGTAAAGCCAATGTCATCAAAATTCCTCAAAGGAATAGTAATTTGAACATCTATACCACGACTGCTCTATATGCTGGGGAAGATGGTGTGATACCATCACCATCAAGTTGAATGGAGCTTGTGGAGACATTTTGTCAACTAAATTCTTTTGCAAAGTGCAAGGTTCAATGTTGTTTATTTGTCATTATACAACACAAGGTTGTATAACGAAAATAAAGTTTGTTGCTACACACAGAACTTAATTAAATGTGTATTACAATGTAACCAGAACATCTTTTTTGTGTATGTTTTGAACAGCAGCAACACACAAAAGTCTGACTTTTGGGAAACAGTGTCCATCTTGACTGCGTTTGAACACCTAGCATCACCTATGTAGAGTTCACCTCCTCTCATCTTGCCGGAGTCCTCATGCTCTGAAAGCTCAGAACACGGACCAACAGCCAGGTGCTTGATCCTGGATGCTGATGGGGCAGGTCTCTGTAAAGATGTGGGCACAACAGTCTCGCTAAATTCCGTTGTTTGGACAACGTGAGTCCTATTTCGTCCAAACCGCACCTTTAGCAGCAGCCTTAAGTCCAAGCTGGGCCAACATGGCTCCTGTCCCGGGTCTCTTTCCTCTCCTTTAAACTTTAAGCGTGACTGCTGTGGTCCGGTTGATCTGGATTGTGGATCATCACAAGGTCTGATGCTCTTTAATCTAAACCCACCGTCTTCCTTTTCCAGTGACTGTATTTCTGTCAGAGGTAACACGAGATTCGGCAGTAAAACCTGAAAAACCACACTAGCTGCATTTTGCTGTAGGGACGGCAATGTCAACCTTTCAGTCAGACCACCACGTTGGTCCAGATTGAAATATCTGTTGGATGAATCATCATGAAATTTGGTTCAGACATTTATGGGGCCCAGTGAATGAAGCCTTTGGTAGTTGGCTTTGTTCTCCTTTAAATCCCAGGATCATGTGATGACCAGGAGGCAGGTACTGAACGTGATGAAACAGAACTTGATTTGACATGAGAGTAAATGAAAGCATTCGTTTTGGATTCTGTGCTCAGAGCAGGGGCATAAAATGCATTTATTCCCTTGACTTGCTGTAAATTAATTTCTCCAGCTAGGATATTTTTTTGGCCTAATTGGTGCCAGTGGCTAAATCCTAACCATTAGCATCAATCTCCTTTGAAGAGAGATACAGATGAGCTTAACGAGTGTGCTAATTATGCTCGCTCTGCATGGGGAGCCTGCTGTAACTTTGTGTGTGTGTGTGTGTGTGTGTGTGTGTGTGTGTGTATGTATGCATATTTGAGATTTATTTGCCTGTTCATGCCTGAGTGTTTGCCTTTCTACATACATAAACGCTGGGGGGACGAACAACCTGACATTAAGAGGCTTGATGGAGTCCCTCTGTCCCAGAACAACCCAACACCTGTCTGATTGATACTCCCTGCACACAAAAAGAACCATGATTTGGGATAATAAACACAAACACAGATATCTGTTTTTGCAAAAGAACACCTCAAATAGGCTATGTTCTACACTTTAATCTGAAATTATATTTCATTTGATCTGTAGCCTAACCAATGCATGCTATAAAATGTATTCTCATAAATCAGGTGAACAGTAGGGCAAATGGCGTTTACACTGATGCCGTTTTTGATGCCTCAGTCGAGCAAGTATAAGTGCATAGTTTCATATATTGTTATCACATGTTCGTTGCCTATGCATTAGAGCTAAACGCGTGTGCCAGTATGTGGCTGTGATGAGCTTTTAACCCTACGCACAGTTTTATAAATGAGGCCCCATGTCAGTAGAATATTACAACACGACTCGAGCTGAATAACCAAGGGAGGAGTAACCTTCTGTTAGATAAAGCTTTTCAAAAAAAATGTCCTTGGTCACATGTGTAACATTCACCTTTAACTTCTACTCAACCAAACTACAACTCCTCTGTGAATCTGATTGGTCAACTGGAAGATGTGTTCTTCTGACTGGCTCCTGATTGGTTCAGACCTCACGCTGCTGCCATCACAGTTGTGGGTCTTCGGCGTGTGTTGCAAGGAGGCTTTAGCAGCAGTACAGCACAGTGGAAAATGGCGCGGTGGTGTCTACAAGCAGTGAGACAGAGCTACTCATGTGTAGCTTCGCCTGCGCTAATAAGGTAACTTACTTCACTATCGACTGTGTTGAGTGAAATGTGCCTGTTACAGCAATGCTCGGCTTGGTGGAGCGCTCCTGTCATCTCAGTGTACGGCTTAGTAAGCAGCTAGCGACGTTATCTTTAACGTTAACCGACCGTGGTCCTTCATTCTATACAGAAATAAATACAGACTTAAAATGACTATTGAGGCGTGTGTTTTGGGGATAACCTGGCAAAAAAAAAAAGCCTAACCAGCGTGTGTCTTTGCCAGCATGACAGAAACAGGATGATGACATAACGTCACGTAGCATACCGTTAAATGATGAGGAGAGGGAGACATGCTCACTTTCAGGCTGCTTGCTAGGTGTTTCTCAGGTTTTTAATTTTTATTAGCTAAAGAGCGTGTTATAATGCGTTGACTTCGGTTAGTATTTCCTTGAATGGAGAGAACTAAACTCTATTCATAAAAGTGATATATTGACGTTTCCTTTTATCGTTAGCGAGCGACTTACTCTTTTTACCAGAAATGAATAATCTGTGAATGGAGTTTGGCGTCATGCCTCGGTAGGTACACTGTATGATGACATAAGTAGGCTATTCTACTACTTACAGCAAATGATTCTAACAAAATTACACTTGTTGAGCTAACTTATGTGCTAAGTGGGCGTTTATCAGTGAATGTCACGCAGGGTAGTTGCATAACATTCTTAGGAAGTAATGTTACTTCTGACAGTAGTGTTAGGCTAATTAAGCTGTCTGTGGTATCAATTAGCAAGTCTGGACAAAGAACCAAAATACCCTGATTTCTGGAGAAGTAAAATAATGTGTAACGTTACAGTAGTTGCAGATGGGATCAATATCCTCCTCTAAAATCTCCTATAGGAGTTATGTTAGGATTTTGTGACTGTGAAAGCCACATTGAATAATTCACATCAGTCTTAATCCTCAAAGCACTCAGTGAGCCTTGCTTCTGAATGGGAGCAACAGATTTGCTATATTTCTCCACTCATTAATAATTTCCCCCCTACCATATAATGCATATATTGTACAATATAGTATATAATCATACAATTTAGTGACTCACTTAGCTGAGGACACTATTATCTTTCAGTACTATACTGTGTACACTGCTTCAGCGGGATCCATCAGTTTTTTACTCTTCACGAATGCAGTGTTATAGTAACTATCAAAATTGCAAATTAATTTACATTAAACTGACTGTTAGTCTCAGGTCAACAGACGTCTGTATACACATGCACATATCTGTAGGCAACTGACAATGTTCAAGCCGTGATAATAGACATACTGTTTGTTTTATCTCACAGATGGATAATGTATGTTTTGAAGGTAAACTGTATGTGAGGAGAAATAATAAGTTGGCTGAAATAGTTAGCAAACAGCAGATAAATGTTTGACTTGCCCATGTAAGCCTGGATAGTGAGAGTACCTACGCTAGAGGCTAATAATTTGATTCAAGGTCTGAATATTGGTCATAACATAATTAAGTAAGGCAAGTGAGGCATTACTATTATTATTGTTGTTGTTATGTGTCCTTCCCACCCAGGGCGTGTCCGCGATTGTTATGCACAGCCACCCAGCAGAAGAATGGTCATAGGTCAGAGGAGGAGGCTGAAAAGCCAGAGCAGACTGCAGCAGAGAAAGCCCTGGTGGAGAAGACCCAGCTGGAGGAGCAGCTCAAGGAAATGACAGTAAGTCAGAGATGGCTGCAGATGGGGTCACTTCCAGTGGAGCATGGTCATTTGAGTTGAGCATGCAGGGAGAACTATTAAATCATTTTACTGCATTATTCTGATATTAATCTTATAATGACAGTAGTATGAAGAACTTGCCAGAAAGCATTATTTTCTTGACCATAACCATGTTTGTGAAGCTTCTACATCCATGTAAGTGGGAGATCCTACAAAATATATAAATTTAGATTAATAGAAAAAAAGATTTGACAGATTAATTGGCAATAAAATAACAGGAGCCCTATTTTGATTTTAAAAAAATGGATGCAATGAGAGAGCTGGCCGTTGGAAAGATTCCTCATTGTGGTTTGAGCCACAAATTTATATACAGATGAGCTATTTTTTTGTTCAAGCTAAACTAACGATATCTCAAATTGAAGGTCTTAGAAGAGTATCTTATATAATGTGGCTGCACACAGCATTCATTTGTAAATGGAAGACAACTGTTTGACATTGTGTTCCCTTTTTATCAATACCACCTTTAAAAAAAAGTACTTAACAGACATCGTAGCTAATCACAGTTTGTAGCCAGAACTTCATTGCATATTGTTGTGTTTTTTAAGCCATGGTGTGCTCTTTCCAGGAAAAGTACAAGCGGGCCTTAGCAGACACAGAGAACCTCAGGAGAAGGAGTCAGAAGATGATAGAAGATGCTAAATTATACGGTAAAGACTTCTCTCCATTTTTAGCTCTTACAGGTTTCTATATTTCAACAGGATCCACCACCAAACTTGGGCTCTTAACCATGAATAAATCCTACTGAGAATAATGTGTAATAGAGACAATATTCTGCTGTTGCATGTTCTAGCCACCAGATATCACAAATGGGCAACAGTAGCCTTTTTGACTAAATTGTGTCTTTACCTAAAACCTGTTGCACTGAATGGCAGAATGCACCTGATAAATTTTTTTATAAGAAGCTTGTGAGGGTTTTTTTTCAGTGTTAGGAAGTTATTAGAGTAATTTTTTCTTAATTCCTGTTATTAGACATAAGCTTTAAAGTGAGGCGATGTAACTTTTAGTTGTTTTTATTTCTAGATTTCGGATACTGGGGGTACTAAATGTTCTGTATTATATATTGCAAATGTCAGATATCAACCTGGCAATGTTTTATTTTTTATTATTTTAGCTACAGTAAAAACAAAAACTTCAGAAAAACGTCCTTTGAAATGCCATTCCTGCACTTACGTTCTGCAGGCACATTTTTTTATATTATACCACACTTTGCTTGTCACTGAATAGGTAAGGTGCCTGCTTCTGACTTTAAAGAGACAGTGTAACCTTTGAAAGAAGAAATATCACCATCTCAAATACACTCGGGGGTTTAGCTACTGCAGGCTTGCGTGGTCTGGTATGACCTGTAGCTTAAGGTGGCTAATGTTAATAAACTTGCTGTGTAACTGACATTACTGAGTCATTTCATTGACTTCATGGCTTAATTCTGTGTTAACTCATGTTAGCATGTCATAGGTAAACCTAGGGCTTGGCAATAAAATTGTAATAATTATCGCGATATAATACATTATAATTGTCACTTGTGGCCACTATTCAGCAGTTTCATAGTGTTAGAGGGTTAGGGTTGCTTAAAATAGGGTTAGCGTTACGTAGAAGAGCATATACATTTCCTAGTCTTTAAGTGTCATCATGTGGAAACTTAGGTGACCAGACTGAATAGATGCGTCATATTTATGACATGCAGTCAGAGATTTATAGCATGCTGAATAATGTTCTAACTTCCTTCCATCACCAGGGATCCAGGACTTCTGTAAGGACCTGCTGGAGGTGGCTGACATCTTGGAGAAGGCAACAGAGAGCGTGCCCAAGGAGGAGGTGACGAGCCAGAACCCCCACCTGAAGAACCTGTACGACGGCCTGGTGATGACCGAAGTCCAGATCCAGAAGGTGTTCACCAAGCACGGCCTGGTCAAGCTCAACCCAGACAACCAGAAGTTTGACCCCTACGAGCATGAGGCCCTCTTCCACGCCCCCGTAGAGGGCAAGGAGCCCGGTACCGTTGCCGTAGTAACCAAAGTGGGTTACAAGCTTCACGGCCGCACCCTCAGGCCAGCATTGGTGGGAGTGGCTAAAGCCCCCTAGAAATGATGATGTAACTATGACAAAGTGGGATTTGTTTGGCTGCAGAATGGATGGCCTCAGATAAAGGAGACTGGTCAATTCACCCTTTTCCCACAAGTCTGTCTTCGCCCTACCCCCCACCCTAAGGTGCCTCACAGAGATGGGAAGAGAACTCACCGGATCATGCAGAGGCTTTCATTGTTAACTGGAAGATAAGCAGGTGAAATATGTTTCACAAAAAAAGTAACAAGTGATCATAAACCCCTCTAATTTTAAGTTTTTCTGGTGAGCTATGAAGTCAAATATCCACAAATTTAGCCATTCTGATTCTGAACTGCTGGCCCTAAAACCCTAACAGTCTTCAACTTTACTCAGTTGTCTTTTCTTGTTTGTGAGGTTTAAATTCATTCTGTGGGAAGAAAGCAAGGAACAGTACTTGAGGATCTGAAGAAAAGTTGAGATGTTACTTTGTACTGAGGTGGACGTCCCAAAGCCTATACATTCTTTCTCTTGTTCATTTGGATGTTGTCAGACTCCGGTAATATCTGGATGCCAGTAGTTCTGGACAATGAACAGCTTCATATGTAAACAATTAGAATAATTATTATGGACCTTTTGTCCAAACTGTCACAGAATCAGAATAAACTGATAAAATCTTGTTGGTTTAGTGTTGTCTTTTACACACACCTTGAAATAAAAAAAATATAAATGTACTGCAAAGTTAGTTATTGTAGTATGTACACTGTCAGCAGCAGTGGCTGTGACAGCTCATGGAGGCAATAAAGGTATTAGTTACCCCTTTTTTGAGTTTTCGGTAGCAAAATAATCATAATGTGTACACTGTCAACAGGAACCTGTAAGAGATTTTTTTGCCAAAATGTAAACAAATATGCTTAAATTGGAGCCCAGTGTACTGAATCAGTGGCAACATTATATATCACCCAAAGCCCGATTATCCCCTAACTGGAAATACGACAGAGTAATAAGAGTGTCAAAATTCCTTCATGATGACTTCTAAATTGTTGATCAAAGCAGTGACAAAAGAAAGCTCAGTTGCAACATATTTCTTTCAAAAACCACCCCAAGAGTCTAACGAATGTTTCTCTCATGTTTGCTGGCACGAGAAGACTGTAAATTGCTTTTTTCAAATATACTTAGATTAAATATACAGTATTGAATGTTGAATAAAACCAAGACTGGACTTGAGTGAGATTCTGTATCAATTTTGTCATACAGACAGATTTGAACAATGAAAATAGTGTTTTACACATTATCTTGACTATAAATAAAGCCCGTAAGCAGTATATCCTATCAAATCCCATATGAAGATCAAACCCAGCAGTAACAAGTACTGTGTGTGTGTGTGTGTGTGTGTGTATCCAAAATCTGATACATCTTATTCCTCTGAGCGAGCCACACTGCTGCACTGTTCCTTTATAACCACACACAGTTTCTTTTGACTCAATCAAATATATGCCACTCCTGGTGCCAGAAATACTTGCTAGAGTACAAAATGTAGATTAATCCATAGCTGAAAATAGTCGAGAGAATGCAACCCCCCCCCCCCCCTTTTATTCACTAATACATACAGTATCTCACAAAAGTGAGTACACCCTCACATTATTGTAAATATTTGATTATATCTTTTCATGTGACGACAGTGAAGAAATGACACTTTGCTACAATGTAAAGCAGTGAGAGTACAACCTGTGTACATTTATATATCACAGTGTAAATTTGCTCAGCTTCTTTAGCGAGGCAGCGGTCGTCTTGGAGGTGTGTTTGGGGTCGTTATCATGTTGTCTCCAAAGGGAGGGGATCATGCTCTGCTTCAGTATGTCACAGTACATGTTGGCATTCATGGTTCCCTCAATGAACTGTAGCTCCTCTGTGCCGGCAGCCCTCATGCAGCCCCAGACCACAACACTCCCACCACCATGCTTGATACTTCTCTTTGAACTCCTCACCTGGTTGCCGCCACACACGCTTGACACCCTCTGAACCAAATAAGTTTATCTTGGTCTCCGTGTCTTTAGTCTGCTTGTCTTCAGCAAACTGTTTGCAGGCTTTCTTGTGCATCATCTTTAGAAGAGGCGACTTCTGGGACGACAGCCATGGAGACCAGTTTGATGCAGTGTGCAGCGAATGGTCTGAACACTGACAGGCTGACCCCCCCCACCCCTTCAGCCTCTGCAGCAATGCTGGCAACCTCTGGATATGACGCTGAGCACGTGCACTCAGCTTCTTTGGTCGACCATGGCGAGGCCTGTTCTGAGTGGAACCTGTCCTGTTGAACCGCTCTATGGTCTCGGCCACTGTGCTGCAGCTCAGTTTCAGGTTCTTCTCTTATACCCTACAATTCTTTTTTTCAGATCCTCAGAGAGTTCTTTGCCATGAAGTGCCATGTTGAACTTTCAGTGACCAGTGTGAGGGAGTGTGAGAGCGATAACACCAGATTTAACACACCTGCTCCCCATGCACACCTGAGACCTTGTAACACTAACGAGTCACATGACACCGGGGAGGAAAAATGGCTAATTGGGCCCAATTTGGACATTTTCACTTAGGGGTGTACTCACTTTGTTTGCCAGCGGTTTAGACATTAATGGCTGTGTGATGTGTTATTTTGAGGGGACAGCAAATTTACACTGAGCTGTACACTCACTACTTTTCATTGTAGCAAAGTATCATTTCTTTCAAAAATGTGAGGGGTGTACTCACTTTTCTGAGATGGACAAGGCTGTACATTTTAAATAAACCCTTTGTTTATTTTACATCAGACGTCTGCAGTGATAAAGTGTTTGTCACCGTTATGATTTGGTCAGAATTTGCTGACAATAAGAAAAAATAAAGGATAACATTAACATGCTGGTGATATGATTAGTTTTTCCCTTTAAAGTTTGCACGTTCTGCAAATGATTAAAGAGGAAACAGGACTATTTAGAATTATAAAGTATTTGCACTTTTAATAAATCTTGATACATACCTTGTCATGTCAACAAAGTAACGGAACAAAACAGCTCTACAGAATCAGACCAGTAACAAGATTAAAGACAGCTCAACAGCATGCCATCACTACACCCGAAGCTTCAGAAAATGCTTCTTCTTTGTAATCTTATTATCCAAAATCTTTTTTTTTTTTTATTATTACAAAAGCTATAAAAATGTCCATGACACAAAATACTGTACATTTCACAGGTCAGTAATTATATTTCCTTTTTTCCAATTTATCTTACAAAATTATTTACATTTGGTGACGTAAAGTCAGCAAAATCCCCTTAATAAAAAATAACCCTGCCACCCCCCATACTGAAAAAAAATCCAATTCCTATATTTTCCTGTGAGACATATTTACCAAAACACGCAATTTTGGAACAACGTGGAAAATTTGGTGGCACATGGAGAACGATGCCACTGTCAAAATCTCAAAGAAGAATTGAAAAGAAATCACATTATATATCTATCTAAAGGAATAAACAAAAGGTGATATTCAAACAAAGGAGAACCATCAAATTCCACTCACAGTTCTAGGTCATCGCTGTTTGGTCTACAGCCTGGAAATTAGCGACGTATTTCTAGAACATTCTGGTTCAGAGGCGCTTCGGCATCTTGAGCTGACCTCTGACCTGAAAAAAATGCTTATTATGTCTTATTTTACAATGCTAAACAGGATGCTCATACTCCCCCCCCCCCCAGCTTCAAAATTAAATGTTTGGCTTACTGCTCAATCAGCATCTTCAATAAACCAACGACAGCTGACTAATACATCTAACTCCAATCGGAACATGTTAATGGATTAATGTGCAGCAGAAAGAGTCCAAGAAGCAGATCTATGCACCGGCGGTGACGCACTACGAATGTTGGAAAGATGATAATACGTTTCCCACATAATTTAGGTCAGCAGTTCTCTAAATCATCTACCACTAAGGCCCAGCGTCAAGTAACACAACAAAAGCTGAATTCACTGAAAAACACTTAGATAAAAGGGTTCTATTATTAAAAAGCTTGTAATATTAAATATTTATCTTGTTAACAAATCCCATGAAAATAAAATATTAGTCCCCCTCAAACCCACTGGTTTCTTATGGAAGACGTAAATCTAGAAGAGGGGGTCATGTAAATGTAGCGGCTCATTCATTTTCTAAAACTGCTGGTCACTGTAGTTTTTAATCAAACGTTACTCAAACAGGAGGAAAACGTGCATTTGATGTGGGGACTATTTTAAGCCACGGATGAATCCACATTTGTTGCTTTAGTGAGTGGTTATGGCAGCAAGATGGTGTATCTGGGACTGAGTCAAAATAAACTATTGTTAATGGTAATGAACATCCAGTGCAACAGTGTGGCTCAGTCATGTGTTCGTAATAGATTTTGGACAACAATGGCGCCCTGGCACAGAGGAAGAAGATGTATCAGGCTTTGGATAACCAGACAACAATGTGATAGTAGAATCAACTCATTGTTGGTTTTGGTCTTTTGATGGGATTTGTTTGCAATAATTGACTATCACCAGTAAACCTTTAAAAAACAGCTCTGGTGTTTGACTTGAATGGTACACCACGATGATGAAATATAACTAAGAAAGACTGATGAGCCCCAATTCTCTTTATGACCTCTACTTTTAAGGCAACGCCTACCACCACAGAACCAATTCCACTCATGACTTACATCCCACAACCCCCCCAAAAAAGACAAAGGAATATGAATCAAGCACATATTCCACTTTGGTAACATCCACACATTCACATGCCTTTCTTCTGTAGGATATCAGAGCTCCTGCTCCTGCCGTCACACGACAGCTGATTCAATAACTTCATATGGAAAATGATAATGAGTGATCAGTGCTGCTGTTACAGTAGTGCCTTCAAGACAAAGTGAAGCTACCTCTGACAAACAATAAGTAATGTAAAATAATAAGCAACCGAGGGGGAGCAGGTAGTGGGAAGCTGTGTGCATGTGAAGTGGTCAACCATAGGGCTGCTGAGCACACAATGAGGAGAAAGTGTAAAAGATAAAGAGGTGTAATATTAGCCCACCATGCATACACACAAAAAATAACAACCTTGGAACTGTATATCGGCATTTGAGTATCACTGGTTAATGCCCTTAAACATTCAGCTTCTTTAACTGTGTTGTTCCATGCGGACAGTAAAACATTTAAAGCTGTGCTAAGCTGCACTACATTGTTTCTGTGGAACTAAAAGGGTTTCCAGGCCAAATTCCTTTCTCCTCCATACTAACGGCAGGAGGCGAACTAAAACCTGTAAATAACATTCATATCAGAGTATGACCAATACAGTTTTTTAAGGCTAATACTTATATGGAAATATTAAAGACCCTGAGTCACTTTCACACTATGAGTAAAAAGGATCTTATATAAACTCACTATTTGCTAACAAAGTTTAAACAGTTTTGGTTATTTCACATCAGGATTTAGCAACATTTCAATGTTGCAAATGTGAAGACAGATGGCAGGTTATTTGATCAGATTTCCTTTAGGATCCTTAAAATTCTGCTATTAACCAAGATGCGACCAAGATACAGCTGAAAAGTGTTACCTGAAACACTTTTTCTAAATGATCTCTTAACATATTCTTTGGCATTTCTGTACTGATATTTTTTGTTACTTTGTGGCCGAAATATGTGCCAATACTGATATTTGTGATAAGGTAACAGTGAATATATCGGCCTGGCTGATTTATTGGTCTAGCTCTATGTCTTATGTCTGTTGCGCTCCGCTAGAAACTGCCTTCAGGCAGCAGTAGGTACTTTTTCCAGAGAAAGCTAAATGATGCTTGAACCCTTTCTTCTTTAAATTACTTGTAGACAGTAAGAAGGGAAAAAATAGGTCAGAGAAATCAGAGTTTACTGATAGTGTATGACAATTTCTAGGAAATGATGGCCTTAAAATGACAGCATATTCAAACAGCTGGCTCTTGCTGGAAAGTCCAGCTTTTACTGATGAAACCTAACAAAACTGACAAAATTAGGTCATGATAATTTCACCCATCAGTGCCATACGTTCAAACACTAACCCACAAAATAACTACTCTTAAACATTTCCAGGAAGTGTAATGCTTTCCAGCATGAAATGGCTTTTGCCCAGTTGCTGTTTGGATTTAAAATAAGATTTCTCCATAGACATCTTCGTTGAACCTGTTGCAATACACTAAAATATCTCTGCAACTACAAAATACGTGTTTGCATTGTAGTTGTCATCATTAGTAACAATATGGATACAAGTTGTTTTCACCCCTATCCCTGGCGAAATGTAAAAATATAGGCTTATTTTTGTTCCTAACCCTGGTATGAAAATATACTATTTTCCAGTGGGTCATCTTCATTCTTTGCAATGTACATATTCACATAGTCACCTTTGAAAAATGGTGACTAACCAGTAGTTCTGCCAGTCTGCCAGCTATCAGCTCATCAACTTATGACTTCCTGACCAAAGATGGACGACTAAGAGGCGTCTCGGGATATCCAGCCACTTTCTGTGAGGAAAGTGAGAATGCGCTTCTTGAGGACCTTGTCCAGGTAGCTGGGCAGCCGGCTCTTGGCCGGGATGCCTTGCCTTTTCTGCAGGTGATCTTTGATGATGATGGTTTTGACAGTCAGGTAGCGTGCCGGGCTGAGGTTCAGAGAGTTACACAGCACCTTCTCCCTGTCTGACAGCAGCTCAAAGCCCATCAGATTCTCGATGGCGGCAAACTCCCCATCTTTGCTCTCTTCTTTGATCCCGCCTCCAACCCCCAACCCTCCAGCAACGCCTCCTCCCCCTCCAGCTCCACTCCCGAGTCCCATCCCGGAGCCAAGCCCGCCTCCTCCGCCGCTGCCCCGTTTGGAAGTGACCACGCTTTTGTTCTCCTTGCGTTTCTCCCGTTTGTGTCGTGCTGCTTCATATTCGGCAGAGTCTTCCAAGCGGGAGATGCCGTTGCGGCGGTAGCGCTGCAGCTCCCGCACCTTGGCCCTCAGCACACGCTCTTTATGCATGTTCTCAAAAAATTCTTCAAATTCTCGATGGGCCATAAACTGGCAGAGCCCCCGTAGCCTGACGCGCTGATCCTTCTCTTCCTTGGTGATCTTTCTTTTGGGTGTACTTGGAACAGAACCTGATCCCGCTGCTGCCATAGAACCTGATCCAACTGTGCCACTACCAGCTCCAGCCCCACCCACGCCACCAGCACCGCCTATGACTCCCAGCGCTCCAGGTTTGTCCTTCTCCTTGTCCTTCTTGTCCCGGCCCAGGAACGACGGTACCAGGTTGTAGTCTCGGGCAATGTTCTTACGTCGCTGCCGTTCTCGGAGCTTGCGTACATACATGTCCACGTGGCTGCGTTTCATTTCAATTTCCACATCCTCGTCGTCATAGTTCACAGACAGCCCGCTGATGAGCTTCTCTGCATCCTGGTCATATTCAATCTCATAGTCGTCACGTAGCGGCATGTAGCCCAGCTGCTGCTGCTCAGCCAGGCTGATATCCAGCGGAGGGAGAGGGGTGGTGAGGCTGGGCGACAGGGGCCCCCCGCTCGGGCAGGTGTGGTCGGTCACACGGTTGGGAATGCTGTCCGGGATGCAGGCCTTACCCAGGTTCCCGTGGATGTACATGGTGACATAGTGTTCCATGACTTCATGAGGAGTTCGGGACGCTCCGACGTGAGCGGCCATGTCTTCCTGAAAGACAACATGAATAGGAAGTTGTTACTAATGAGCACAGTGTAAGAAATACAACAGTACGCTGTTCATAAATTTATTTACTGGACTACAAACCAGAGTAGTGCTGAAAAAGTCATAAATGAGTTAATCAAGAAAAGAATTTGATAATCAATATTATTTTCATCAATATAATTCATTCATTCATCATTCAAATACTCAAGTGCTTTTCTGTCTTTAATATCTAAATTCATATATTTGAGCTTTGAACTGTTTTTGTTTTAAAAAAAATTTAAAATTTAGTGTTTAAGTTTCCAGGAGATAAATATGTTATTTAATACCATCAATAGGGAAAGAGACAGTATTCAGTTGATAGTTACTATAAATTCTAATGAAGACGCATGAAATGTGACATTTGTCAGCCTAAAACAGTGTTGTCTATATGAAAAGTGCAATGAGATAACTTCTGTTATGAAATGGCGATATATAAATAAAACTGAATTGAAGTTAGGCTTATGTTTTACTTGGTAATTCTTTTTGGTATTTAGCATAGTTCAATACGCCATTATTCAAATCTTGAATCGTAACCTTTTATCACTTTAATGTGCATTTTGTTTTTAGTTTATGTTAATATTCATGGTATTTTTTGTGTACTTCAATATGTTTTGCTGTGTTGAATGTTGTCCTGTTTGTCCTGCACTATGAGCTCACCAGTGCAGTAAAGTCAACTCAACTAATGATGAATTAATGTTCACTTGGGTTTAAATATAGCTAATCTTTCAGGGAAATTTGCATTTTCCCTATCAAATTAAAATTCTATCCAGTAAACTGCAAGGAAAAAAATAAAATACAGAATTCATCAGTAAGTAATTGTTAAAAAACACTGTTTTCATAAAGCTTACATCTAATGTCTAATGTTAAAGTATGTTATGTAGGCCATAAATTCCATTTACAGGGATTTATATTTGTTCGTGGTGTATATAAACTGTTACCCTTCAATATAGGGTAACAGGTTACAACTAACTACCTAACCTCAAACACTATTAGTATACACTGCAAACATTTAGAGTATGGTCCAAATTTGAGTTTAGCTGAGTTCCTTGTAAAACATTTTAGTTTGTTACATTTATTATGTTCCACCTGGAGTGTCCGTATGTTGTTTGATGTGAGTTGGCTGCTGTTATAACCCATTTTCCCATTTATTAAGCTATCAATTCTCTATCTGAAGTCACTAACGTTGCGCACTCTTTTTTGGTTAGGCCTACTACTTGTGAGCTCTTGTTCTTAATGTGACACCATTAAGCCTCGTTGTGCCTTCAATTTAAACTGCATAAAAATACTGTGGGAGCTTTTATCCTGCTCGTTATTATCGTGTTAATGCTCAGTCGTACAACTTTTTACGACGGTAACGTTACAGGGAAAATTCATTGTCATAAAGGTTAACGTTATCCTATTATTATCGCTACCAGCCAGCTTTTAAGTACTTTAAATAACAGTACTGTATGTGTATGTTAGTGTATAGTAGCGACTCTATAAGTTAAGTAACTTAAAATGTGATGTACCCAGTTTCCAAATCCATATTGCTCGATGGCATCTAGCAGCGACTGCTCTTCCCTGCTGGTCCATCCTCCTTCTGCCTCGGGACCCCAGAGAGAGAACCGACCGCCGTCGACCTGCTGGTAGCCGTGCCATCTCCGGTGATTACCTATTTCTGCGCCCGCCGAGAAGCACTCCGGGCACAGCTCGATATCGGGGCAGTCGGTGCAGCGAAGCCGCAGGTTCGTAACATCTGCAAGGCAGTTCACGCAGTACTTCTTCCCCAGGTCGGCCATGTTGCCTGGCTCCTGCTTCTTGTTGTTGGAGGCAGAACTGCGCGCCTGCGCAGCGCGAGCCTTGCAGCGCGACCTACTCACATCCTGCTCGTTAATATTCATGAGCAGGGTTCAGGGCGCCTCTGATTGGCTCCCGAATCCAGTTTCCAGGACAACCGAAACAAAACGAACATTTTCATTGACTTGAGAAGTGCACGAGCCCTAAAGCTAAAGACAAATTAAATAATACTTTTGGGGGTTATGGTACTATTGAAAAATGGACGAAAAACCAGAACATGAGGTGAAGAATGACACAGAGAGGGTGGTGTTAGTGGATTCATCAAATGAGGAAGACAGTTCTCCTGTTACTGCTAAAAAGGAAAAAGAAGGTGTCCCAGCTGAAATGGTTGCATCAGATCTTGATAAAGAAAACTCTGAAAGAATGAAATCTAATGAAGAGGCCCCTGTTGGAGAAGCAGAAGAGAGCAGTAGAAACGAGCTTCCTGGTGTGGACAACATCACCAAAAGTGAAGACTTGGATGTAAAGATAAATGAAGTCAATGAACAGCCAATGTCCCATGAGGAGAGTGTTGTTTTTGAGATCAACAGTCATGATTACAGTGGACCTTCCAGCCTGCATCAGACTCCGGAGAGAGAGAACACCAGTCCTACACAAGAGGAGGACAAGGCGGAAGAAGAGCAATCCACCGCTGCTCCTGCAGACAGAGTCGACACCGACTATGAAGAATACATGCAGCTCCTCCAGGAGCTGTGTGAAGAGAGAGATAAAGCCAGCCAACACAGCGGCCACCTGCAGATGAAGCTGGCAGAGTATTTCCGTAAGAAGGCCGGGGAGGACGCCCAGCTGGAGAGGATGATGCCGGTGTCGGAGCAGCAGCAGGAGTATGAGAAGTACATTAACCTCCTGACTCACCTGAAGCAGCAGCTCACCACTGACTCAGAGACCGCTCAGCAGCAGGCAGAGGAGCTGAGGTTACAGTCCCAGGAGAAGCTGGACATGGTTGGTCTTATTGTCAGGGCCTGTGCAGCTTGTTCTACAAAAGAATTTAAAAATTTTCCTATGTTGGAAAGTGCACAAAAGTGTTGTTATAATACAAAATATTATAATCAAATGATATAACAAGATTAAGAATATAATATTGAATAAGCTAAATAAATAAAACAGATAAGCAGTATTGTAATTGGAGAAAAACATTAGGGCTAGCATTAATAAAAGTTTAGGACTACTAATCTAAGAGGTGATGTATTAGTATATCAATGCAGCATTATCAACTGAAGTGAAAGTAATAATATTTCTGAAGTATATGCATAGTTTACAAGAAGCCACCTTTGGCAGAAGTGTAATTTGAATACGGAAAAAGTAACATGTATAGTAAAAGTTCCATTTCGCTAACAAAATGAGTTTATTCATAAATTTACATTTCCATTTTAAGGACTTATTCATATAATAAAATACAAATAAGTAAATACTTGAATTGAAACATAAAATATACTTATTTATAGAATTATAAGCAGGTTTTGATTATCTTGTAAGTTCTCACTGGGAAATTCACACCCAAAAATGTCACTATCCATACTAAAAAAAAGTGCTGTGTGAGTGATATTTCATATGCGAGATTTCTGTATTTCTGATCTCACTTTTGCTCCTCTTACTGGTTTGAAGTGGGCAGGGCTCAGTTGGAAGAATGTCATGACACATATGTTATTTCTGTCGTGTGGTTGTCTGTGTATGTTGTAGGACTAAACAATTAATTGAAATAATATTGAAATCGCAATATAGCCTACTGCAATTTTCAAATTGCAGGAGGCGCAATATTTGTTAAAGGCAGAATGTGTGTCAAAATACCATTTTTAATTAAATACTGTCATGACAAACCTAGTTATGCGTTTCATCGCTAGGTTGGATAGTTAAGAAGAACACGAACAAGAAGTAGTAGTAGTAGTCGTCCAGTTTGTTAGAAGTAAGAAGAGAAGTGAAATTTGAACAAACAGAAGACCACGCGTGTTATTTAGCACAAGAGTGTACAGAGCGTGACGGCCACTGTAGCTTTTCCTACGCGCTTGCAAAGGGAGAGGTGAGTGGTGAGTGAGCCGTTGGTTGCAATTTGCAACCCTCACCACTAGATGCCACTAAACCTACATTGAACCTTTAAATATGTTTTTCAATGAAAATTAGAATAATGATGTAAAAATGATTATCGCAAATCATATCGAAATTGCAATATCAGTCAAAATTATCGCAATTAGTTTTTTTTTTTATTATTTTTGTTCAGCCCTAGTATGTTGCCAGCTCTTATCAATCAAATCTGATCAAATCACACCCACACAGCCCTGATGAAGTAGATTAAATAACAACTGTGATGATGATGAACTATGATAATACTATGATAATAACTAGGACGTATTTTTTTTAACTTCAACTTTGATTGCTTCTTATTTAGTAAAGGATATTCAATGTTAAATAGAGAAATACCTAAGATTTCAAACCATGTTTCCAGGGGCTGTAAATGGTCTCCTTTTTCTCTAAGGAAAAGGAGTACAAGGGGTCTACAGATGCTGTTATGCAGTGAGCTGGGTGGATGTGACATGCATACTTAATCATATAAACACTGCTCTCAGAAATATGCAAACAGGGTAATGCTTTAGGAACAAGCAATTTGCAAAATACAACTAAAATGTCTGTAAAGAACTGTGAAATTTTAAACCATTTGGAACCCAGTGTACCTTATTAGAAAATAAAGTTGAAACTGTTGCAAGTACTCTTACAGACATTAGTCCTTGCCTGCATTTTCATATGACTTCCAAAAAACCCTAAGCGTGCCCAATAAAGACCAATTTATACTTCTGCCTTGAATCAATGCCGTAGGTCCACCATAGCCTTCTTGTAAACTGGAGCCCTACTGACGCGCACCTCCCCAAAAATGTTACTACACGTCATGGTGACGCAGACTGCAAGAACTCTGGTAGGTTGGCTTAGTAGCATTGCATTTCCGGCCTGTCCTTGTTCTGCCACAACCCATCCATACCATTCCCTCCGCCTTCTCTCGTTTTTGCATTTTAGCAGTTTCACTAAAAGTAACTGCTGTTCAACATCGATCAGCTCCAACTCCAACATGATACCTCAGTTTCAGTTGCCATTGTTTGTAGTATTTTACACCAACTCAACACAGTGGAACATAGAAAGTAATTACAGAGTGAGGCAGACACCAACGCACAAGTATAAATGCTCATGACAGCACGTGGCTACGCCGTTTGTTACGGAGTAGACTCAACGCAGATGCATACATTGGCCTTAAGTGTTGATTGTGTGTGTTATGGTGTGCTGGTCATCAGACTGTCTCATCTTTGTTCCTAGGTGGAAAATGAATGGCGAGCTTTCGTGGCACTGAAGCGTGATTTAGCTGTGACATTTCTAAGCCTGGGTAAACAAGCTGCTCAGGCCAAAGTGGAGTCAACCCTGGCAGCAGAGCAGCTTCGGCAGGACGAGCTGATCAAGCTGCGCCTCAACCACATCAAGCTGAGGACCAAGATTCACAGGCTGGAGGCAGAGCTTTGGAACAGAGAGGAACACACCAGGGACCCTCTGAAGCTCCAGTTTGAGCAGTTGCAGGCTGAGAGGCTGGAGCTGAAAAAACACACGGAAAAGCAAAATGAGGAATCGTTAAAGATGCAGAAAAAGATCAGCAGCAGCTTGGAGGTAGGTTGAAAAAGTAGTCTGTAGTTGTTTCACAAAATATGATTTTCAGTTAGGCGTAGTTAGTTAGTTGTTGTTTTTATGCTCTATCAGGTCCTGTCAAACGTAAAGGAGAAGCTGTTCTGGAGCAAAACGGAGGTCCAGGCCAAGCGAGAGCAGCTGGTCAAGGTGGATGCCACGGTGGCCAGGATGAGGGGCCTGCTGACCAAGACTAAGCAGGCACGCAACAGCCTGCAGAGAGACAACCAGAGGTTGAAGGAGTGTTGTGGACTGCTTGGGAACAGGGTCCTGCTGCAAGACTTTGAGGACACCGTGGACTACTCCGAGCACCTAGAAGAACAACTGGAGAATCTCAAGGGCCGGCAAGCTGAGATTGTCTTCAGCTGTGGCAGATGGAGGAAGCAGCTCGGGACAGATTCAACATAGAAAAATCAGGAATGAAAATGAGCATCTGGCCTTGCAGTGTGTAGTTTTATCCTATGTGCGTCAACATGTATTCACTCCCAAGTATCACATTTGGACATATGGTCAAGACCTGTTGGCGTCAGCTTGTAACGCATTGGGGAGCCCCTTAGTGCAATAGTCCAAGTAAGGAGGTGGCTGGGGTGTATCAACCGGACTTTCACCCAGGAGACTGGTGTCTGTTTCCAATGTAAAACAAAAATCCAACATTAGGTTGCGTAAATTGCATAAGTTAAGCAAGAAACGCTACCTAAGTTAAGCCACGTAAGTAACATTGTAATTTTAACACAGACCATGTTTTTTTTCCTAAACCTAACCACATTGTGATGTTTCACAATGTTAACCACTATTTGTTCTGCTGGTCTGTAGTGTTAGACCAGTCTGAAATTTGCTCTAGTCTAATGCAAGTTAGACTGTTTCACAAAATCAAAGATTGAATAAGTTTAGACCAAAAAATTATTAGACACCTTACCCCCAGGCTAGGTCTAAGATCCTATGTTACCTTGGTAACCATCAGTAACAGTCAGTTACATTACAAACAGCCAAAAAAGGGAAAATGGCTCATAATTTGTGGTTTGCTGCTGATATTGTGGAGAGAGTTCTGAGAAGGAAAAATAGTTTTTAGGGACGCAGTAACCCACTAGAAATATACAACAATGAGGACGTCCTTGGTTGGTTTCGTTTAACTAAGGAAGCTATCCTGAGTCTGACAGATGAATTTGCTGAAGTACTGAGCCCTGCCTCCTGTTCCGTGGTCAAAGTCTATCTTTGTGAAACAAGGCCCAGATCCTGGCATTATTGTAAAATCTATGATGATAAAGTCATTGTTAAAAGCCTATACAATCATGATGTTTAATTTAAAAGGGATTTAAGCAAACATGGGTAAAGTCAAAGTAAAAATTTGGGTGTGCGAAGGTACCGCCTTTGTTTTAGTGTTCTTCTTTACATGTTTACTACAAAATGGTTAACAGAGAGCTTTATCACTTCGGTTGATCACTTATCCCTCTCAGAGCGGATGAGCAAAGTGGCATACGAGCAGGCAAAAACTAGCAGGTTGGCAATAGTAGGCTGGATAGTCAGGAGTAATATAGTAGATGACGCAACAATCCAGCGGCAAATGGATATCAGGCTCTTCCTTAATTGCTGCCGGTTTAGTGTCAGGTGGGTATTTGAGATGAGGTCAGAGCCGCAACCCCAGGAGCAGTGACGCCCATAACTCCACTGCAAGGAGAGACCAGAGAGTGAGAGAAAGCAGGAGCACACAAACAGACAAAAACCAAATGGCAACAGGCATCCAGCATTCATTCAAACTGAGAAATAAAATCAGAACACTTTCACTTACATACAGATATCAAGGCAGGGGATTCTGACAGATTAATAAAATTAACTATGTACAGTTTACCTGATTTATTAAATTTGGCTTCTGGTCTTCATGAATAATTCATTAACAAAATCTTCTGTTAGCTTCTTTAGAGGTGATTCTTAATTGGAATTAGCAGTTAACAGTTGAACACTAGCTTGACAGTTAGCTAGTTGTCTTGATTTTAAACAATACAGATTATTTGTAGGTTATTTTGCAAAATAACTCTTGTCTACCTTTATTTTGTTTTGAGCTGTTTTATTTTATTTTTCTTCTGTCTGTTCACTGTGTGGATAAAAAAAAGACAAATTGAGATGTAACATTGTAAATGTATTTCTCTCAATAAAAAATACATAAAGAAAATGTTTTAGGGGTAGTTTATTTCTTGGCAAACATAGTTAGTCAATATAAGATATTGTATTATAAAGTGCTGGCAGGAGGGTTTTTTGCTTATAGTTTCAACATATTTTAAACAGAGCCAAGCTAGCTATTTATGCTAAGCTAATCACCATCTGGCACAGGCACCATTCTGAAGACATTAAAGTGATATGTAGGCCTATTTTCTCAGCCTTTATGGCACTGAGTGCAAATTCAAATCAATTCTGAAGATGAAGTTCCATCATTTGATCAGATCCAATGAGAAATAAATATGTTAATTAAAATGTTATTTTCAATTGAAGTCAGTAGATGGCACTACTGGATAAAAGTGTAAATGTAGAGATTTGCCAGGAAAATTCAGTTGATCTGACCTTGTCAGCAGTTTTTTCCCCACTAAGTTTGCATTTCAGTTTTAACTGATTGAAGTATTTGAATACATGCATAATTCATGGACTTCTGGTTATCTGTAGAATATAAAATAATCACAGTTTGAATAAAGCTAAAATAAGTTCTGCTTGGTTCATCGTTTCAGTCTTACTGTGGCAGTGAGTATAAGAATGACTGGGACCTGAGAATAGTTCTACATAAACTGCTCTATTTCTGTCTATGTCTAACTCTTCACAGGCTCTGATGCTGGCACTTAGAAAGGACATAAACACACATGCATAAATACATTACTTACCAACTCAATTTTATTTATATAGCACCAGTTCGAAACAGAAGTTAACTCACTGCACTTTTCATAGCAGTTGTAGGCCATTATCTTTTGATAGCATATAGCAGTGTGGCTGTCAAGCAAGAACATGGGGGCTGTTTGTAGCTTGCAATCAGTGATCCAGAAGGGCAGAAATACCTGCAGAAAGGGACAGAAAGCACAAAAACTACAGGAGAGGGAAGATGTCGAGTTAGTAATGCGTTAATGGGATAAGAATGCGTACAGATGGAGAGGGAGAGGAGGAGAGAGGAGCTCAGTGCATCATTGTGAGTGTCCTGGCAGTTTAGGCAGTGTCTGACAAACACCTGGCAGATGCGGGTAAATTGTTGGCAGTGGCAGGTAAAATTAATTCAGTGGACATAGAGATATTAATGCATGTACACATGGACTGTGCAAATTAATCTTAAAAAAGTTAAGTTTTTTTTTTCTTCACTAAGTTAATTCAATAAAGTTTTATCATGTTTTGTTCTTAAATTCATCATTTACGGGACTTATTTCATTCATTCACTCATTTCCTTAATAGATGATAAAGTGGTGGAATCTATTTGGCTGTAGCCTATGTTGTATTTGAAATAGTAGGTCAAATAAAACAATCCAATTGTGCAATGATTGATTGTAATAAAAAAATAATTTAATATATATTTACTACCATAAAAGACATAATATGTTTACAATTACATATTAAGAAGAACAATGTCATACATTTTAAATAAAGGATAGCATAATTATATGCATAATTATAATTTATACTGTTGTTTTTAGAAACAATTTGCAACTTCCATTCTAAGTTAAATTGTACAAAGGTCATTCCACATTTATACAAAATAGCATCTAGTACAAAATAGTATAGTTAAAATTATATGAAGTTAGTTTACATTCTGCACAGTTAAAGGTGTGGCCGCTTTGAGCAACAGGTGACAGTAATGCATTTCAGATTTCTGCATTTTCAGCAATGCTTTGTAATTTTTCCTTCTTCTGTGTGTTTTTTGGTGGACCTGTGCATATTTTACAGAGACTATTCAAATGTGATATGTTAACATGTCCCCTTTAAGTATAGTTTCCAGCTTTTCTAGCAATAGCTCTTGGCTTCATTGTGTAATGCAGTTCAGCTTCCACCTCTGCCATTTTCACTTATCAGCTTCCAGGCTTTTTAGCAGTACAGTTGATGCATTTGGCCTTTCAGATTTTTCAGGCAATTCATTTCCCATTTCTGCATTTCCTGCAATGCTTTCAAATGAATTTCAGCTGTCAGCATTCCTATGCATTTTCTGCAGGAAATGCAATATTAAAGTTTATTTTTCTGCAGTGCTAGGGCCCCTTATATTGCTGTTGGGCACTCATTTTTAGTATTGACTAATAATGTTAGTTTTCAAATAAATTTGAAATTTTTCAAACAATGATGGGACTTTTACAAAGGAGAAAGCATCCTGACTGGAAACTCAGCACTACACCATGCTGTATTATCTTTTAATTTTTGTATACTGTAGCCTACATCGTTTGCTTTTTGTAGCCTAAAGGGAACTACAAACTGCATCTCATTTTTACAACCCTAATGTAATAAAACCAATACATTTCCCTTGTGGTTACAGCACTTCAGTTCCAATGGCCTACTAAACAGTCACCCAGGTGAGTGCTAAGGTCACGCTGTCACAGTTTTGAGTTTGATAATTTGGCATCAGCACATTTGGACTCATTAAAGAAAGACAGCTAAAACCAGCTAGACCCTGCTCCGTTCTTTAATGTGAGATGAGTGTGAGAGCTGCCATTGACTGCACAGCTATTGAAATGACATGAACAAAAAGTAAGGTATAGTGGGAATCAGTGCTAACATGAGCAAGCTAGGCTAATTAGCCTGCACTTTCCAGGTGGAGCACAATGCATCTCCCACACTGAATGTTTTAAAGAGACAGAGAGCTTAAATTGCTAATGGACGATAGTCAACACAGAACAGCTTGTATTCCAAGCGCACTGCAGCGTAGCCTACAGTATGACGTTTTCTATTGGAGCAACACAGCACGTCTGGCAGCGATGGTGGCTGTCCGTCAAATAATTTCAAAGAAATAAGAAGAACACAGACTGATCATTTAGTAGACTTCCAATTAATTAATTCAAAATATTGCTAGCTTAACCTGAAGAGTCTTGTCGTCAATGCACAACAGGTCAGATGAACATGTAAAAATGTCAAATTGGTCTACAGGCTGAGGCTTTGTCAAAAGGGATGTAGGTATAATCCAAGTCAGTCATAAATAAATAGTAAATTATTAAAATAATTTTAATTGTATTTAAATTAAGCTCTCCTTTCAAGGAAATGGCATATTTTCCTTTAATTAGTATCATTACATTGTTATTTCAGGAAACATCTTAGAAAATAAAAAGGAAATAATAGGGTTGTGTTACCAGCTTCTTAGCTGATTTTAGCTTTTCTTAAAATAACTTAGAAAAAGTCTTGCAAAGACTGAAGACTGCAGATTAGTTTCCAGTTTAGAAGGAATTCAGAAGAAACAAAGCAAAGTTTTTTACTTTATTTGTATGATATGTTTGGTTAATACATAGCATTCAAAGGATATTACAAAAGCAAAGCATGAGAGATAACAATTTTGCACATTAACACCAACATTTGCATTTCATAGTTCGTTAATTGATAAAGCAACAAAAGCCACAGTAACTTGAAATAAGGATGAGCAGGCGGCTGCTTTACATGAAGCGTTCATCCACCATTTTTATGATGCCCTTAACCCAGGAGAGATTTGGATCCACACAGATATGATGAGACTTTTGGGTAACCAGACTGAAAGAAAGAAGGTGAAAGTGTTAATGTCATTATATTGGTAGACAGTATTTTGTAATTGTAATTTTTTGAAAGAAAAAAAATAAAAAGTAGGAAATTGAGACCAAAATTAGAATTAACTGTATTATCAGAAATGGAAAACAAAAGTAATTTACGTAATGTACTGCTAATGTGAAATTTAATTGAGTGTGAAGAATGTATGAAATGTGCACCTTTTCTTTTTAAATGTTCATGAAATGTAATTGATTTACAAAGTAATAGTAACACTGAATAATACACGTTTCACATACTTAAGGTCCCTGTATTAAAATAAACTTTCAGCACTTACATGGTTCCAGTTTTTGGGCACCGGTAATCAGTCATGTAATATGAAGTGATGAGGTTTTTGTTCAATCTTCTTGGGTAGAATTTGAAGCAGCAGTCATCAGGACCAGTTCCATCTAAGAAAAAGGCCATAAATGTATTATCATGATGTCCTGAGAACACCTCTAACACAGAATATGTTAAACTTATTAAGGTTATGGTCATCTTACTGTTGCAGATCACGGAGTCCAGCAACGCAGCTCCCAGGATGCAGAGGAGAAGGATGTGACTGGTCCTCATGATGACTCGATATTCTTCTGGATGCGATGATGGAGATGGGCACAACTGCTCTTTGCCTGCAATAAAGGGCTCCTAAACAAAAGGTGGTGTGGTGTCACGTTTATTAAGATCAAAGATGTCAAAAAAAGAAAAAAAGGTGTTACTTTTGCGGAAAGGGGAGGGCGGTTGTTGTGTTAAGGGGACCGAAGCTGCCTATGACAGAAACTTTCCACTTGGTTTTTACAAAGGGTGAGTGGTAGATTGCAGGAAATACACTTGTGGTTAGTACCGAGACTAACTAACTCAAAGCATGACGGTAAAATACAGCAAAACCAACAGCTACAATTTTTCTAAAGCCATAACAGCTTAAACTCTTAATTCATTATAAAATAAAGACCTAATAAGTCACTGACAAGAGGTATATGCATTCAGGGTCCATTCTTTTGTTATGCTAGCAGATGACAGGAACTGGCCAGATGAGTAGTCAGGTTTGCTCTGTGAAACAAAAACAAACTTTGGAACAATGGAAGCAACTGTGTTGTCAGTCAGTAGTATCGCTGCACTCAGCTCCAGCGATTTACAGCCTCTTTCAAGCTCATTGTTTTCGTTTCACAACTTTACTGTTTTGGTTCACAATCACTGTTCTCATTAACCTCGTTTGCAGCTGTTATCAGCAAAAATAATTTTATTATCATGAAATACTGTGTATTAACTGTTTAGCCAATGTTAAATAATCAAAACAATGCTGATGATTAAATTTTCCTCACGAGTGACGTAAACTCTAGCCTGCCTCGATTCTGGTCGGATAGAGTGGCACGCTAACCATACAGCATTGAGGTTCTGACCCTTTGACAACCTCAAAGAACTCAATAAGCCACAAAGCCTGATAAATGACACAGCAACACCACCGACATGCACATGTGTTCTGCATGACAGGAAATAACAAAAACCTCAAATTCAAACAGCACTCTGAGATTAAAAACAAAACTAATACATATATAATATGTCAAATATTTTCATGCCACCAACATGTGAAACAGGGCTGTTGTTGACGCTGTCCGTAGTGGGGAAAATCACTCATTTGCAAGGCTGAACAACCAGTCGGACAGGTGCAGTTCAAGGACAGACACACCACAGAAACTAGCGGTAATGGTTTGCCACAGCCACTCGACAAAGGCTGTGCAGTGCCCCGTAGCTGATCGTAAACACGCTTTGTGTGCATACTGTAAAACTTCAATTAAAAGCTCAGTCCCAATTAGATGCCAGTCTCCTTTACTGGTCTGGGGTGGCTACATGTTTTGATAAATAAGAGCAGGTTTTCAATTAGACCCCTGGTCTGGTTTTTAATAGAAGTTCTTTGGATGTATAAAACCTCTGATCACCTTCCTGAGTAGCTCTAAGCTGCTTAGATCAGGGGTTCTCAAACATTTTGGTCATGGATTTCAAACACTTTCTGGAATAAAACATTTAAAAGCCTAAATCCTATCAGATCCTGGGACAAAATCTCTGGCCCTGGCATTATGGTAGAATCTATGATGTTGAAATCATTGGTAACCTATTGCACTTCATTTCCAGCTATATTGCAGTTGTATCCTGTATGGCAGATTTGCATGATTCAAAGTTTAAACAATTTTCTATCTTATACCGGCCCTTCATGCAGGCCTGATTTCAGCCTCTGTCTGAAACAAGCTGCAGATGCTCTGGCGTGTTTACCAGGCTTTTGTCAGGACAGGGCTGCGCATTCCTTTGTGGGCATGGCTGGTATGTCTGGGCCTGGAGCAAAAGACCATAAGGAAAACCGATTTTGTTTTTGAACCGTTAGCAGAACAAACTGTTAAAACCTGATCATTCAGAACAGGGATTTAATTTAAATACTTCTACCTCATTATTTGAAGCTTTGGCCACATTTAACATGAACATCTGACATTGTAACATTGTAGATATGATACGGAAAATACAGAAAAGCATAATTATATTATATATATATACATAATTTAAAAGGGATTACAGCAAACATGGGTAAAGTCAAAATAAACATTTGGCTGTGCAAAAGTTCAGGCTTTGTTTTAGTGTTCTTCTTTGGATGTTTACTACTTTACTACTGAACAACACAATTGTTAACAGAGAGTTTGATAAAACAAAGAGCAAAGAAGGAATTAGCTTAGCTTAATTTAAATACTGGAGGCAGGGGGAAACAGCTAGCCCAGCTTGTGCAGAGTTCAAAGAAAACTCCTTCTAGCACATTTAAAGCTCACTAATTAGCATGTTGTATGTCTTGTTTAAAGCGACTTATTGTGCTGCATTTCCAGATCTATATTGTAGTTCTGTGACTCCTCTATGGCCTCTTTGTATGATTTAAAGTTTTTTAAAAAACAACACATTTCTGGCACTTCATGCAGGCCCTCATTTCAGCCTCTCTCTGAAACAAGCTGTAGATGCTCCTGTCTCTTTGGCTACGTTCAGACTGCAGGCCAATGTGACCCAAATCTGATTTTTTTGCCCATATGTGACTCAGATCTGATCTTTTTATGACAGTGTGAACAGGCCAAGTCACATGGAATCTGATCTTTTCCAGTTCAGAATTGGGCCACTTCCATATGTGGTGCAAATCCGATCGGATCTTTTTAATTTAGGTATAAGAAAGGGAATTTGTGAACAGATGATCGAGGTAGAAGGATGAGAGCCACATGTTTAATTATGGCTTCTTGTGGAGCTTTTTCGTTCAGCGCGGCTCCGTCTACAGTAGAACAGCTGCTCTACAGTGACGTCAAAGTCGCATTTGATGCGAATAATGAAGCCATAATTAAACATGTGGCTCTCATCCTTCTACCTCGATCATCTGTTCACAAATTCCCTTTCTTATACCTAAATTTCACCGGACCAGAGCTCTTTTTTGAGTTACGTGCATGCTACTTCTCCGAGCGGACACAGTGGGGAGAGAGAGAGAGAGACGGAGGCAGTTGCGTTGTCCAGCGCCAGAAACCACAAAGAACAGAAAGTTGTGAACACTTGTCATAATTCGGGAGAAATGTGACCCGTGACCCGGACAATGAAAAACGTGAGTCCCCCGCGAGCTAACGGGAGCTATGTTGCTCCTTCTGTAGTCTGCAACAGCGTGCTGCGTGTGACGTCATGTTATTCTTCTGCGCATTTGGGTCACTTTCAGGCCGCGGACAGTTCACACTGGAGTCTGATATGGGCCACATTTAAACTATAATGTGAACTGTCAAACGAAAAAAAATCAGATCTGGGAAAAAAATCGGAATTGAGCATTAAGGCCTGAAGTCTGAACGTAGCCTTTGAGAACCCCCACCCCTCCCTCAAAAGCCCACTGTCTTCTGATTGGCTATTGTCTAATGTGTTTACCAGGCTGCCGCAGGGATAGAGCCGCATGTTCCTTTGTGGGCGTAGCCAGTATTCTCTGCCTGGAGCAAATGACCATATATGGAAATCCATCTCGGAATGACATCATACCGAGCCGTTGGTAGAAAAAACAGCTTAAAAGCATTCAGAACAGGGGGATATCTGAGGTCTAGCCTAATGGGGATTTATTTTAAATACTTTGACCTCATTATTTGATGCTTTTGTCATATTTAACATGATCCCTGACATTGTAACATTATAGAAATGCCAGAAAATATGAAAAAGCATAATAGGTCCCCTTTAATCTTCACAAAAAGGAATGTAAAAACGACAACTTGTGGTTTTATGGAGAGTTAAGTGCTGTAACTATTTCATGGCGAACAAAAGCCAGGCGCAGTGTCTTCTTATTACCATAAGATTAAATACGAGATACTAGTCCTGCTAGGTATTTTTAAACATTGCATAATAAAATGGTAAACAGAGAGTTTGATAAACATATAGTTTTAAAGAAAGGGTTTGATATTTAGGGAAAGCGCTTATTCACTTTCTTTCTGAAAGAAAAATGGATCTATACATGTGAGGGGATATTTATGGAGCCAGAGCCAGGAAACGATTAGGTTTGCTTAAGAATGAAAAAGATAGCTTTGTCCAAAGTTCTCATATGTTTAATATGTTCATTAACACAAATGTAAAAAAGATTTTCATGACTTGCAACAACTTCGGAGGCTCCGGCAGAATTGAGTAATGGAGTATTTCGTTAAGCTACCTTGTTACCTTGTTCCCATTTAAGTGTCAGTGTTTTTCATTTAATAAAAAATGCCAAAATATGCCAAAACGATAAAGAAACCATACCATATAGGTATATGTGTAAAGACAGCTCCCTGCTACTATGCAATTAGTACTGGCAACTACAAGCAGCTGTGGTGGCATCAGGGCAGAGCAAGTACACATGTAGACACCAAGGCCATTAAGGCAGAGATGCTTTCTTCACTACAGCAGGAGATTGCTAATATTATTTGATCTGAGCTCCCAAGAAGTTATCCGAGCTTCAAGCAATGTTGGGCGATGTTGAGTTTTAAAAAGTTACAACAGACTTAATGGAAGACATTTCTTCCCTCATCCAAAGGACTTCTTCACTTCTGACTGACTGGTAGGGAAAATCAGCTATTTAACCTCAGTGGGGTCGTTTGCCAGCTAGTGTTCCTGGCTGGCGTAACAACATTCTTGACCTCAGGTCAAGACTCTGCAGTCTACTTACATCTGAAGGACAGAGGACATTCGTTTGAGGACCACCAGATGCACATTTTAGACAGAGAAGATGGATGGTTTGAAAGAGGTGTCAAGGAAGCCATCTACACCAGGGTTGAGAAGCTGTCATTGAACAGGGGAGGGGGTCTACGCCACCACTTATCCCCCACTTACAATGCTGTCCTTTCATCACTTCCCAGGAAACTCAACAAACGTAACCTATTGGCCTCAGGTGAAGATACCAACGATGGTCGTTCAATCTTGGCCATGGGTGGTTCTAACGACAATAACGACCAGCAGTATAGATGACTCTGGCAAACGACCCCACTGAGGTTAAATAGCTGAGTTTCCCTGCCAGTCAGTCAGAACTGAAGAAGTCCTTTGGATGAGGGACGAAACGTCTTCCAGTATCTTTAACCAAGTCCAGTTGCCCTTGACTTTAACCTTCGTTGGATAACTATGACCTGGATGACTGAGAATCTTCACAGACAACAAACTTAA